CCCCTTCCACGCGCCCCTCCCCTTCCTGGCTTCGCCCTTCCCAGCCAGCTTCGCCCTCTCGCCCCGCCCCCATCGTGACCCTGCGGAAGACCTCCCTCGGTGTGGGATTTGAATTTCCAGCGTCTGCAGTGGAACCCAGGACCCACCTTGGGGTGGCACTGGGGTGTATGTCGCAGGAGGTGTAGGTAGGAAGGTGACAATCACCCAGATTTCCAGGATGTAAGGTGCTCAGAGTTTTGATTCTGATACCACCCCCTTTCAAATGTCCCTCACTGATGAATTGATACAATTGGATGTACTGGACAATAGAAGGGAACAAAGTACTGAAACATACTACGATTTGGATAAATCTTGAAATTATGCTTTCAAAGCAGTCACAAATGGTCACATAATGTATGATTCCATTCACATGCAATGTCAAGAGTGTGCCAAACAGTAGGAAGCAGGTTAGTGGTTTGCTGGAGCTGAGATAGAGAAATGTGGAGACAGTTATAACCAAAGTTTCTTTGGGAGGTGACAAAACTAAATTATGATAATTGTACAAATCTTTAACCATGTTAGAAATCACTGAATTTAAGTGGGTGGATTATATGATGTATCATAAAACTTGTTAATTCCCTTCCTAAAAACCAATAAGGAAAAAATTCAGAAGCAACTGAGAAAAAAAGACCAGCTGGGCATGGTGGTGCATGCTTATAATCCATTCCAGCACCTGGGAGGCTGAGGCAGGAGAATTGCTGAGAGTTTGAGGCCAGCTTGAACTACATGGCGGGAGCCTGGCTTGAATAAAACAAAATAACAAACCACCGTGTTACACACAGGACATGAAAGATGAACAGATTTATCATGGGGACAGTGCAAGAAAGAAGACAATGAAAAGACCTTTAAAGTACCCAAAGTAGCCAGGTGTGGTGCACATACCTATAATTCCAGTGTTCTGGGAGGCTAAGGAAGGAAGATTGCAAATGTGAGCCCAGTTTGGGCTAGTTACCAAGACCTATCTCAGAATGAAATTTAAATGCCAGATGTGGAGCCACACACTTTAATCCCAGCATTTGAGATTCTTTGAGCCAGAGAGGTTCAAACTGGGCAACCACAGGAAAGTGAATTAACTGGATTTTTACCTCATACAAAGTTAGGCAAAAATGTCTTAGATATAAGACCAAGAGAATAATGCATGAATGGAAAATGGACAAATTGGACTTCATCAAAAATAAGAACTTTTTAGGGGGGTTGGGGGTGTAGCTCAGCAGCATCAGTGCCTGCTTGGCAAAAACAACAACAACAACAACAACAACAACAAAAAACAAAGCCGAACTTCTGCTGGTGACACATGATTATAATCCCAGCTACACATGAGGCCAAGACAGGAGGATTACAAATTCAAACCCAGCCTGGGAAACCTTAGTGTGACTCTATCTCAAAGTAAAAAATATAAAGGCTTAAAGTAGATCAGTGGTAGAGTGATTCTAGGTTCAATTCCCAGTACCACCAAAAATAAATGCAACAAATACAAAGGGTTGTACCTGTAGCTCAATGGTCAAGTGCTTGTCTGAGACCCTGGGTTCAGTCCCCAGTCCCTACCCCCACTCCAAACAAAAGTATAGCATACTGTATACCTTAAAAATTTCCAGTTTTGCATTAATTCAGTAAGACTATTTAAAAATAACTAGACAAACCAGGTATGGTGGCCCATACCTATAACCCCAGCCATGAGTTTAAGGCCAATTTGGACTAAGTAGTGAGTTAAGGGAAGCTTGAACACTGCAAAGTGAGACCCTTTCTAAAAAAACAAGAAACAAAATTTTAAAAACCCACAAAACAAACAACAAGGTAAAGATTATGCCCAGAACATTTAAAATTGCTAGGCTTGCAGTTACTGCTTATTCAAAAGTACCTATTGAGAACTATCTCTGTAGATCCCCCCATCTGAGGGACAGCACAGTCATCATGGTAATGGTTCAAAACTGTGCCCTGATAGGACATACCTCTTTCTTCCCAGAAGCCCCTATAGCTTCTCCCTTCCAAAAGTCTGTGCCAAAACTCAGGCATGTAAAGGTTTTCCCAATCCCCTGCATTGTCACAAAATAAATCAGCTCACATCAGTCTCCAGTCCTTCCCCCATCAGAGCCTATGTCAGGCAGAACCTGCCTTTTGTCTGCAGAGAGCCTGCCACAGTCTTCCTTGTGATGACTCCCTCTGTGCCCTCCTTTATTAAACTCTTTTCTTATCTACTTGCCACCTCCCTTGAATATTCTGCGTTGCTCTAAGTTGAGTACATATCACTCAATCAGTCTCAAGATCACTTGAAAGGGGCTGCATGGTTTCAGGAAAAGGAATGAGGCAGTGCCTCAAGAAACCACTCTAGCCAGACATGGTAGCACACTCCTGTAATCCTAGCACTTGGGAGGCTGAGGCAGGTGGATCTTTGCAAGTTTGAGACTAGCCTTGGCTACAAAGTGAGCCCAAGGCCAGCCTGAACTGCATAGTGAGACCTTGTCTCAACCAAAAAACCAAAAACCACCTTCACCCTAACACTGTCTTGGGCAATAATGGGACAGGACGGCCCTCCTTCCCAAAACTGGGCTAGTGTAGTCCTTGCGCCCTCTAGTGGCCTCAGGGACACAGCTGGCTGAGCTCCTCACTTCGCCCATTCCCAGGTCCATCTTCCTTTCATACCCCTGGCTCACTGCTGACCTTCCACCTAGTTGCATTACCCAGGTGGCATTGCCAACTCTGCCTGAATCACTAACCCTACCTACATCCTTCGTCTTATGGGTGGAGGAGACTTCCCTCTGAAAATTCTTTGAAAAAATACTATAATTTTTTTTTTTAGTCCAAATTCATGACCTTGTATTTGCAAGGCAGGGACTTGTGCCACTAAGCTCTATCCTTGGCCCCACCTTCTGAAAATGCTTCCAACTAAAGTGACAACTTTCCTCCAGGAGCCCTGTTGAATTGTAGCTATGCCTGTGGTAAGACTCTGCTCTCCTCCAATCCTGCTTGTTCCAGCTCCTCTGTCCACAGCCTGGAAACCATCTTCTCTCTGTACAGGATAGCTAGGGCAGTTGTCTAAAAGCCTGCATTTGGTTCATACCTCTCCACAATGCCAAGCCTGTTTCAAAGTCCTTTCATCTCAGGACAGACTATGTGGGGCTTGTTGCTGGGCCCTTATACACAGCCTTGCATTTGTGTTTCTCAAACTGTGACTGGGTGGCATTCCCCTGCTGGGGTCACTGGGCCTGTATATGAACAAAACTGTGCTGTTATCCTACCTGCTGCCACCTCTGAAAACTGATACCAGACGTGAAAACTAAAATTAATGAAGATTTTTTTTTTTGAGACAGGGTCTCCCTATGTAGTTTAGACTGGCCCTCGTCTTTTTTTGTTTGTTTGTTTGTTTGTCTTTTTCGGTACCAGGGATCGAACTCATGACTGCCTGCTTGCAAGGCAGGAGCTTACGCCGCTGAGCTAAATCCCCAGCCCCTGGCCCTCGTCTTACTACAAAGCCCAGCTGGGCTCGAACTCTCCCAGATCCTCCTGCCTCAGTCTCCTGAGCCACCATACGTGGCTCTTTTTTTTTCTTTAAAGCAAAAATATATGGTCAGGCTGGGCATGGTGGCAAACACTGTAATCCCAGCACTCAGGAGGCTGAGGGAAGAGGATTGCCATGAGAGGCTAGCTTGGGCAACATAGTGAGTTCAACACCATCCTGAACTACATAGGGAAACCCTGTCTCAAAACAAAACAAAAAACAAAACAAAACAAAATCTGCCCAGGCACGGTGGCATGTACCTGTTATTTCGGCTACGTGGAGGCCAGGTGATCACAAATTAGAGCCCAGCCTGGGGGATTTAGCAAGACTTTAAAAACTGAAAAATTTTTGTTAAAAAACATAAATGGCTGAGAATGCAGTTTAGTGGGAATTGAACCAGTGTAATACTTGTTCAATCTGCAGTAAAACACACACATGCACACATGGAAAAAAAAAAAAGGAAGAAGCAGAATACATGACAAACTGCAAATGAACAAAACATCTGTGGTGTCAGTTGTCAACTTGTGTGGTCTGAGAGCTGTCTGGGGTTAGTACAGCACACTCCTGGCTTGTCTGGATGGCCATAGAGCCATGATCTTGGGGTCTCTGTCTAGGCCCTGGCCCCTTCCTCTCTGGCACTGCCCTCTTCCCTGCTTCCCAGCTGCATGCAGTGATTGTCTTCTTTCCACCACACCCCTCTGCCACATTGTTTCTGCCTTGCAGCTAGCTGACCAGAGACTGAATCCTCTGAAACTGAGAGTCAAACAGACCATTTCCGCCTTTACATTGTAGGCCTCTGTATTTGGTCCCAGCAATGGGAAAGCTGACCTACACGGGGTAGAATGGTGGCAAGAACACTGAAGAAACATCACAGATGGTACACCTCATGCTGGTGCAGGGCTGTATCCAGCTACTGAGGCAGGAGGATCAAAAGGTTTAAGACCAGCAATGTAGTAAGATCCTGTTCCAAAACAAAATATAAAATAGGTGTGGAGATACAGCTCAGTGAAAAAACCCTGGGTTCAACACTGTCTCCCAAAAAGAAGGGTCCTCCTGGTCTCCTACTTGGATGTTTATAGAAACAGGGTGGCAGGTCCATCACAGTCTCCTCAGGCCCTCCTCACCCTCCCTCCAGCCTGGGGTACATACCCATTTGGGGAACCTTCAATTGATAGCACTGAGTGCCCCTCCTAGCCGCAGACCACACTGAAAGGATCAGCAATGCCTGAGGAGACACCTAGCCCCTAGAATTTAGGCCAGGTGGGCAAGGTCCCAGGGAGCGAGGTGAGCAGAGGCTTCCTGTGGCTGGGGAAACCAGGGCTGGTGTGCTGCTGACCACTGGCCATTATTCTTTAGTTGGAATCTGATGTGACCTTGGCTGGTGCTAGCCTGGGCTGAGCCCCGCCCTAGGAAGGAGTCCCTCAAGTAGCTGGAGGCCCCTCAAATGCCATCTATTTGCAGCCTGGGCCCTGACACTGACATGGGTCACATGTGAGCACAGGGGCTGGATATTTTTGGCAGTGGAGGGGTGGAGCTTCCAGGGCCATCCCAGCAGCATGCCGTTCTGGGGTAGACACTTAGATGCCCTGTTCCACTGTTCTGCTGGCTGCCGAGACTCAGGTAGGACATGGTTCGCTTCTCCTTCCTGGCCGAGGCTCCAACGGCAGGCAGGTCCTGCAGAGACCTCTCCAAGGCAGAGAGGGGTGTGTGGGTAGGTGGGTAGGAAGCCATGGTAGGAAGCTCTGGCCTCTGGACATTTCTAGCTCAGGACTGTCCCAGCTAGAGTGACCTCCTAATCCATGGGTCTAGCAGAAGCTGACTGAGTGTGGATGAGTAGCTCCCATCGGGCAGAAGCTGGAGGACCTCTCTAGTTTGATCCATCTTGGTTCACTGAACTGTGGCAGAGCGGGGCCTTGGGCAGCCAGGCAGGACTGGGATGGGGGTACAGACCTTGGGGATCGCCCCAAGGGGCTGCTGGGGGGTTCAGGGACTGACTTCTGCTTTACAGCCTTAGGCCCAGGCCCTTCCTGCTGAACCCTGAGCTCCAGCCAGCACCAGTGTGACCTTGATGAGCTCAGGGGAAAAACTGTCCCAGCCAAGGCTGGTGGAAGGTCATTACCCTGAAGGCTGGGCACCTGCTGGACATGGCAGCTGCCTCCTAGAGCACCTCAGGATAAGCTGGGCTGACCATCACCTGAGACACTGACCCCTGGTGGGTTGTCATTGGTATAGACCACTCTGAAGGAAGTGGAGGAAGGGAGCCTGACCTTCCTGACAGGAAAGAATGTGAAGGAACAGCATTCCTGGGGACAAAAATTAAAACGTGGCAATGTCATGCTTTCCGTGTACTTCACTAATATAAAACGCAGTTTGGTTTTAGGACTAACAATGTGTTCTGTAAAGTTGTCATTTGAAGCCCATTTAGAAACAGGAAAAGTGAGAGCTGGGATTTTTTAACTCAGAAGAAATTAGATTTGAAAGAAGACAGCCTCTCTCTGGGACCCTACTGTACTTTCTTCTAGGGTGGAGATGGAGAGCCAGGCGGGACGTCTCCCCCGGTGCATGCAGGGTGGTGGCCGTGTGTGCAGCTTTGTGCCTGGAGCCTGGACACCTGAAAACCCCATCCAGCTCCAAGTCCTGTCACTACTCCAGCACCTCTGCTGACCTGTGATGGACAACTTCCAGTACAGTGTCCAGCTCAGTGACCAGGACTGGGCTGAATTCTCGGCAACTGCTGATGAGTGTGACCTTTTGCAGGCTGGTCTGGCTTCTGGGGACGAGCTTTTTTCTAGTGACATTGACCAAGGGGACAGCAGTGGTAGCAGCCCACCTGGGCCCCTACCCCTACTCACTGTGCAGCTGGCCTCTCGGGGAAAGGGCTGGCAAGCCTGTGAGGAAGAGAACAGTGTGGCTACCTGGCAGCTGGCCAGCAGGTCTCAGTGTGAGCCTGTCCTGGCTGTGGGGGCCAGTAAGCAGGCCGCCAGCACGTCCACATGCTCTGAAGCTCTGCTGTCTCCCAGCTCAGGCCCCGCCTCTTTTGACCAGTGCTCCTCCTTCCCAGAGTCAGTAGATCCCAGTGAAAAGATGCAGAAGGTTCTGCAGGGCCCTTCCGCCAGCTCTCCTGGGGAGCCCCCCCAGAGTTCTGACTCCCCCAGCAACAGCGTCATTCCTCATAAGCCCCCTGACAATCCTGGGCCCCCTCCACGGAGCCCTGGTCGCAAGAAGAGGCGCAGTGTGGGGATCCAGGGGCGTGGATGCTCAGAAGCTCCAGGGCCTGCTGTAGGTCCACCAAGCTCCCCAAAACTCCCTGAGGCCAGGCTGGAGGAAGGCCATGGCCTGGCTGGGGCCAGGTGGGAGGGGCTTGGGGCTGGGACAGCAAAGACAATGGCAGGAGCCCAGCAGAGCAAGCCTCAGCCAGACTCCATGTGTGCCCTCTCTACACCTGTCCCTGTAACTGAGGGAGATGCAGACCAGATTGAAATGACCCCCAAAGCTGAGTTACACAGGGCTTCTGCACCTGCCCAGGGGACTTACCCAGATGCTTCCATGGCTGAGCCAGATGAAGCTTTGTCTACACCTGCCTCCAAGCCTCAACCCTATGTGGCCTTGTCTACACCTGTCTCCACATCTATGCCGAGTGTAGACCTGCCTATAGCAAGGCCAGTGATCACGCCAAAGGTGGATTCACCTCTGCCTGTCTCAGTGGCTGTGAAAAGTAGGGCTCTGCCCCACTCTGCTGACTCTGAATCTGATGGGGCCGAATCTACACTTGTCTCTGGGGCTGAGACTGCTGCACCCGCCCAGCTCCCTGTTCTGCAAACTGGGGCTGATACGATAGAGGCAAAGATGACTGTGTCTCCAACACAGCATCAAGAGAGTCTTGGAGGGGCTCCTGGACTCGCTTCTGGGGTGCCTCCCCCAGGCCCTGTCCCAGGGCCTAAGAAGAAGAAAGTACGATTCTCCATGGCTGCTCCCAGCTCTGAGCAACAAGAGTCAAGAGAGGCTACAGGCCTACCCCCCCTGTCGGCCTCAGCCTGGCCCTCATCCTCTGGGATGGCAGTGGGGGGTCGTGAGGGGGCTGCAGCCTGGGATGCAGTGGCGGTCGGGCCCCGGAGCCCTCAGCCTCGGATCCTGAAGCACCTGCCGCCTCCTGCTCCCTTGGCTTCTGCAGGGCCTAGGCCTGGGAGCTGCTTTGCGGTGACCCTCCCCGAGGCCTATGAGTTCTTCTTTTGTGATACCATTGAGGAGGAGGAGGAGGGGGAGGATGAAGGTGTCGGGGATGAGACAGTAGCCAACCAGGCACTGGGTGATGTCCAGTGGCCAGATATCTGCGAATTTTTCTTTCGGGACAGCCACACCCAGAGGTCAGGCCACCAGGGGAGCCGCTCCTCTGCCCCACCCCCAGGAGCTGTGCCCCCTATATCCACTGTGCCCCCTGGAAACCCCATACACTTCTCCATCCCTGAGGCCTATGAATACTTCCTTGGGGAAGACAGGTCCAGGGGTGTGCTGCCCCCCACTACCCTTCTCCAGCTGCAGACCTCAGAGCCCTCCAGGAGCATGGGGACAAGGACCCCACCTGAGCCTGGCCCAGCCATAGCAGAGCAACTCAACCTGGCAGCCAGGCAGGCAGGTATGTGCGCCCAGGTTCATGGTCCATCCAGGCTCTAAGAACATACGGTCCAGGGAACTAGGTCAGCAGGGGTACGGGGAGGGCAGGGAAAATCCTAGATCCCCAGTCAGTGGGGGCCCCTCAGGGCCCTACTGGGAGGGAAATGTGAGCTCTAGTTGTCCCAGAACACAGCTCACACATGGTAGCCCAGGCTAGGCCCAGGTACCAACAGGGCCTTGATGCCTTCTGGCCTGGCACTGTGAACTGACACCTATGTGCCTTCCCCTCTGGAAGCTATGCTGTATACCAGGAAATGGTAACACCCAAACCATCTTGATTTAAGTCTGACACATGCCACCCAGAGACTCCAGGAAGACATCACAAGGAAGATGTGACTCAGACAGACATGTCACAGGACAGGCATGTCCAGGGTGGATGTGTCCAGGCAGGCATGTTCCAGGACAAGACAGGTGCCAGGACAGAGGTGTCCAGGCAGGAGTTTTCAGACAGGTGTGTTTAGGGCAGATTTGGCCCAAAACAGACATACTCAGGACAGACATGTCTCAAGGCAGATGTATCCCAGGGCAGATGTGTCCAGGACAGATATGTCAGACAGGCTTGTCTTACGACAGATGTGTTTCATAGTGAACAGCTAAGTTAAGGATGAACTTCTTTTTCCTAGGAGAGCTCCGGCATCCCCTCACCTCATTTACCTTCAGTCAGAACGACATGTGCTTGGGGTTTGTAGCCCTTGCTACATGGGCTGTAAGAACCTCAGATCTGCAAACCCCGGATGCTTGGAAAACAGGTTTGGGGGCCATGGGGACAGAGGTAACTGGTGCTTAAAAGCCACAAAGGGCCTACCCTCACCATCTGGCCAACAGGGATGGGGTACATGGAGAAGCATAGGTTTCTGTCAAACTCTGCTCCTCCCATTGCTGGCCTACCTCCAGCCCATTGTCCTTGCCTGCTGGCTTGTCCTCTTTGAGGACTAGGTCAGTCATTGGGTCAGAGCTGGGGACTAGCTGGAGATGGCACCCAGGAGACTTTGTGCTTCCCTTGCAGTCTTGCTGGCCAATATTGGCACCATCTCTGCCATCCGTTACTTCCGCCGGCAGGTGAGGCAAGGGCACAGCCCCAGCTCCAGCTCCTAGGACCAGGCCTGGTCTAGGAAGATTCAAGACAAGGAGATGAACAGAGATGTCCAGGATGAGCCGCTGCCCTCCTCAACCTAGGACCCCAAAGTTCTACACATGCAGAAGGGAGCCAGTGTCCTTGGTGGTGGCCCTCTTGGACTCCACCTGAGGGTCCACCCAGGGGCCAAGGTCAAGGCCACTATCCACACCCCCTGGGAGAGATTTGTAATCTCTGGGTGGGTAGGAGATGAGCAGGGAGCTAGTTAATAGGGCACCAGATTAGCGAATAAAACACAGGGCACCCAGTTAAATTTGGATTTCAGATGTACTATGTGAAACATTCTTGTACCAAGAAATTCCTTGTTGTTTATCTGAAATCTAATTTAACTGAGTAACCTCTGTTTCATCTGGTCATGTAGGTAGGTGGGGTGGGTTTCAGGAAAGGACCCTGCAATTAGGAGCGTCAGAGAGCAGCAAGATCCTGCTGAGTCTGGTGGGGCTGCGATAGGGATGCTAGGTGGCATCAGAGCTGGTGAGAGTGATTTCCCAGGGATTATGCCTTGTGCACAACAGACTAGGCTGGCAAGGGTCTTACAGGCCCCTCTGAACTCCAAGTTTCAAAGTCTATGGTCAAGGGGTTAGGAGGCCAGCTAGAGTGAATGAGTAGACGCCTACAGGATACCTACAGGGTGCGGCAGTGGGCAAGGTCTGGCTTCTCTGGGAAGCCCTAGTCAAGGGTATAGACAGAACTTAGTGGGCTCATGGGGAAGGACTGAGCTCTTGGGATGATCCCATGAGTCAGAGATGGACGGAGAGGCAGGTAAAGGATCCAAGGAAAAAGAGCAGTGAGTGGATGCAGGAGGCAACACAGGATCTCCAGGACGGTGGGAATCCCCTGATGTTTAGCAGAGAACACAGACACAGAACCAATAAAATCTCTTTTTTCTTGTTTATGGCACCAGTGTCTCCAACCAGTCCTTCCCCGCACATCCAGCAATGCAGGACTCTCCCACCATCCTTGCTATGTACTCTCATACTCTGCACGTGACAACTCATACCTTGCTGCTCTCTGACTCTTGTGCACTCTGACCTCACATATTCTGACCCTGACAGGCTTTCTCAGCCCTCTGCCCTTCATACACACACTACCCCTACTCCAGGCATCTCTCTCATCAGGTTCCCTCCATTTCTTCCTGGATTTAGAGCTGTGAGAGGCTCCTGTGGCACCCCAGGACCTTCCTAGTGTACTTCCCTGAGCTGTGGTCAGTCACAATGACCAGGGTGTCCCTGGGGATGAGGAACTCTCTCCTGGCTGCTCCAGCCCACGGTGGGAGGGCACTCTGCCCCCAGGGTTCTGGAGATGCATTTGGCCTGCTGGGGTTAGACCCAGACTGTAAAGCTGATGTAGCGCAATGGGGTGCTGGGGCCATTGCAGATCCCCTGGCAGGGCTGGCACTGGCAGGCTATAGTTCTGAGGGGCAGCCCTGCCAGGGAGGCCATCAGATCCACTGGATGAATGCCCCCTCTGCCTCAGGCCTCTTGATCTGCAGCCACTTCTGGCTGGAGGAAGTTGAAGTCTTGTTCCAGATGGGGGACTCGCCATCTGAGAGGGGTATGCAGAGAGGTGTGACCCACAGGAAACAATTCCCTGTTGCTTACCCCAGAAGGAGGCAAGAACCTCACTCACCTGGAGAAGGTGGCAGGGGGCTGCATGAATCTTCCTTGGTAGACGAGACCTGGGAAACCCAAACCACAAGTCTGAAAATGGGTGATCAGGCAGTGAGTCAAATCTGCCAGACCTTCTGCCTTTCCTCCTATGTCTGCACTCTCCTCCCGCTGCCCCAACCCTGTCCTGCAGATCTCAGTCCCTGTCTCTGGTCTTTGCCTGTCTTGTACTCTCTTGCTTCTTTCCTGCCCCTTCAGATTCCTAGAAGCCCCACACCCACATTGCACTCCTTGATCCCAGAGACTGGGGCCTCTTGATACTAGTTTGGGGCTTGAAACTCACAAGCCAAGAAGAGTCTGAGGACCGAGACTGCTGGCCCCTGATGGAGCCTTGGTGCCTCTGAGAGGCTCGGGTCTGTGAGGCTCCCTTCTTGGAAAGAAAATGGGGATCTGGAGGGCCAGGAGAACTGGAGAGTCCAGAGCTGAGGTCAGACACAGGCACAGATGCTGGGATTGGGGGGAATGGGCTTAAGGGTGTAGGTCCAGGTGAGTTCTGTACTGCACTGAGGAACTGTCAAAAAAGTATGGTTAATATGAAGATCTGGGCCAGCCCCACCGTAGAGCTCAAGGACCTCTGACCCAGAAATCCCTTGGTCTCCAATCAGTCTGAGCAGGCTTCAGGCCTTTAGAACATGCAGCCTTGTGGCCCAGCAGAGGACTGACCTCATCCAATCCCTGGACATCTGTGATCTTGTGGTGGGAGGTGGCAGGTGGTGTGTAAGGGTCGGCATAGAGCGGGGAGTGTGGAGTCTCCAGGGAGTGTTCTGGTGCTTCTGGACCACCCTCCAGCCTCAGCCTACCCACCTGCAGGGAAGAAAAGGAACAGACAGGTTCTTCAAGGCAAAAATTCTGGAGGCTCCTGTCCTCTAAGCAGAGGCCTGTGGAGGCTCTTGGACCACCTAAGCCAATGATGGTGAACCTTTCAGAGCTCTTAATGATACAAACAGCCCGATGCAGCATGTGTTGTAGATTCACCACCACTGACCTAGGCCAAGAGTCACAGCCAAGGAGGCGGAGGCAGTGGGGAGAGCCAGCATGGAGCCTACCTGGGCCAGGTCCAGGTGCAGGGGCAGTGGTGCTGCTGGGCTAGGTGCTTCTCTTTGGGCCTTTCTCCTGGGTGACCGGCTGCTGCCACCACGTCTCAGTTCTGCCCTCCTTTGGCCAACACGGGCACAGTCAGGGTTGGCCTGATCCTGTAGTAACCAAGAACCTTCTAGAGAATTTCCTGCCCTTCCCATTCTCTGAGGCTGCACAGAGTTTCCTTCAGGATAAGACTCATCTTTGAGGAGTCAGGGTCAGGATGGGGAGCAATGGGACCCAAGCTCCAGCACGCAGGACCCTCCTCTGCCACTCCAGATACTCACGGGTGTAGGCCAGCCCACAGTGGACCGCATAGAGGACTCCGGGAAGAAGTGACTGGTGCAAGCAAAGGATGGTGCTGGGTACCCCAAGTCCCAGCTGGTCCGTCCATCTGAGGAGAGTAAACCTCGGCCGCCACCCGCAATCTGGGAAGCCAGAGACAAGTGGGAGACTGGTCCCTTTTCCCTGACCCATGCTATTCCAAGGACCTGAGCTGTGGGGTCCTCAGACCCTCACCTGTGTGGGCTCCTGCAGCCGTGGGGGACTCTTGAGGTTGGGCAGCAAGGGTGACCCGTCCTTGCGGGAGACAGTCTGAAGGCAGAACAGCCAGTGGCTGTAGTCTTCATAGCTGGCACATACCACACGGATGGTGTTGATGAGACGGCCTGGCACACAGAGATGTGAGATGAGTGGGGGCCTGGCAGAGTGCAGTGTAACCCGCAGAGCCCCAGCAGAGTGCTAGGGCATCCACTAGGCTCATGCCCTCTTCCCATGGTCCAGCCAGGCAAGGGGGCAGAACCCAGAGCACCTTCAATTAGGAAGGAGCGAATCTGCTTCTCCTCTTCTTCCAGGTTGATGTGGATGGCACTGAGTGGCAGCTCCCCCTGTGGGTGCAACAAGTGAGGACAACCCCAGCAGGACAATGCTAGCTCCAGCCTGGCCTTGTCTCTTGTCGTGCTGTCTGGAACTGCACTGGGCACTCACATCCTGCAGGAGGCCAGGCAGTTTCCTGTCTGTCCTGGGGACAGCCTCAACTAGTCTCTAGGTGGCCTGCACCACATCACAGAAGATGTAGGTACATACTTGCAGAGATTTGTCCCTGGCAAGGAAGCCCTGTATGCGCTTTTCAATAGCTGTGGCTGCACACCAGAGACACACTTGGCTCAGAGATCACAGATGTTCATGCGTGTGCATGCACATGCCTCTCAGGCACAGCAAGAGCTGATCCAAGGCACAAGGTACAAGCATCCAAGAGGGACTCCCAGAGCAGCTGCACCCACATCACCCATCCAGTGTAATGGTCTAGTTGGTGGCCGAGAATCCTCTGGGATGAGATGGTTTCTAGGGGCAAGGACTCCTTCTCTACATCAGAGCTGAGACCAGACTGACCAGAGCAGTGAGGATGGACGGGTGGGGCCATGTACTCTGTCCCAACAGGCCCCGAAATACAGGTTCCTCCTGAGCTGCTGTCCCACCCCCCCTTGGGGCTGCTTGGGATGAAGGAGGTCCCACCTTAAAGCTGAGCCCATCTGGTTCCTCAGAGAAGATGGCCAAGGACGCCGGGTATAGGACCAGGAGCCGGTCCCACTGCTCCTGTGAGGGTCAGAGGACAGAGTGGGCTGGGGCATCCAGGCCTGGCCCCAGCCTCTACTTCCTCACACCCACCTGAGAGGGCAGGTGCTGTAGCTTGACCCTTGAGGCACAGATGGTGTCACCCAGTGGCTCTCGCCCTGATACCCTCTGAGGTTGGCTGAGAGGGTGCTGCAGAGTCCAAGAGAGCTCGTCCTTAGTGGAGCCCTGGAGAACAGGAGGTCAGGGCAGGCAGGGAAGGCCAGGATGGGGGATGAGCCTTCAGGTTCCTGGCACCGACCTGTGGGAGTACTGTGTGGCAGCGCTGAAGTACCCCCACTAGGGCCATTTGCTTCTCCAGGTGGTAGAGCCAGCTGCTGAGCTCAGCCTCAGTAGGGCAGAGAACCAGGAGCGGGGCAGGCAGTGGGCCTGCAGCAGAGGAGAGAGCAGGCTCGGGGTGAGTCCAAGGAAGCCAACAGGGGAGGCCCCTCTGGGACTGCACTCAGACCTGAGCCCTGGATAGGGAAGCACCTGTGACACACCTGTGATCTGGAAGGCATGTTCTCTGTACCTCTCAAGTCGGCAGATCTTCAGATCTGACAAAGGTAACAGACCCTGCCAAAGCACAGGATAGGAAGTGCTGTGGAGTCCCAGAGGCATAGCCAACTCTCCCTGTGTTGACTATCCCTACCACTCACATACACACATACACACACACCTGGAATGTGAGTCCTTCAGAGCCATGGGCCTGGAAATACAGGTGGGAAGGGAAGAGTTCCAGGAAACAGTCACTAACATCCTGTGGAGAGAGGAGCTGCCAGTCTGGGGGCCTGAGGAGCAGCCTGAGTTGGCAGGATGCTGGTCCCCCAAGCCTGCCCCACCTGGCCTTTCCCCCTGTCCCCCACCTGGCTGTGCTGGAACCGCAGCTGGACCTTGGCATAGTGCACGACCTTGCCTAGGTTCCTCACAGGCACCCGCCGCCGCCCTTTCTTGAAGACACTCAGGAATGGCTGCTCTAGGCCTTCTGGTCGGCCATCCAGGCCCTGGATATCCTGGGGGAGTAGAGCTCAAGGGAGGGACTGACAGTGCTGGCAGCCTCAGCCAGCAAACACACAGTCAGCACACATCGGCCTGGTCTCTCCAAGCAAGGCCACTTGATACACACATCAAGAGCACAGACCCTAGCATACCCATAGCCTCTTTCCATGAAAACAACGTGGGCACACACATTGTCTCACGCCAGAGTTGCCTGGTCTAGTGGCAGAGTGAGACTCAGTGGAGTCGACCTTTAGCTTCATCATTTCCTATGCTCTGCGATTCCCTCTAGTTCCTACCCTCCACAGATCTAGAGGATCCTGGGGGGCCTGGAAGGGCTAATGCCCAATACCTGGTTCTAAAACAGACAAAAACAACACAAAAATTGAAAATTAAAAGCTCTTATTTGTAAACTTTGCCAATTCCTTTGGTGTACATATACCTATCACAATGAGCTACCAACACGATGTCCATGAACTTGGGGCTAGAAAAACTGGGTCAGCCAGCTCTCTAGAACCTGAGCCAGCCACTCTACTCAGGTCTGTCACTACACATGCCTTCACCCTGCTCACAGCCAAAGTGAAGGTCCTGACCCAGGGGTTCTCACGGTGTCTCTCACCTACTTGTCTCCCCTTCTTTCACCTGTGATCAGGGACATGCTTGTCTCAGGACCTTTGCTCTTGAGGTTCCTTCTGCTAGGACCCTGCGACCTGCACTCCACTCTACCCCTCAGGCCCAGATCTCCTCTCCTCCTCTCTTTAGCAGGGTGTCACTCACTTATTAGCTTGTCTGTCTCTTCTGTGGGAATGGAAATAGGGTCTCTGTATTTTGTTTCTCATCATGACCCCAGAGCCTAAAACAGGGACTGGGATGTGCTGGGGACAGTGAGTGACGCATGTTGGCTGACAGGAGGGAGAGACCCCGGGAGGGTCTGTCCACAACATTCAGCCAGTTCTGGGACAGCGTGCTCTGTAAGTGGGAGGTTTGGGATCAGATTAGTAGGAGTCAGAAAGTGGATAGATGATAACGGGCTGGACAAGGTAAGCTGGGGAGGGGGTCACATTGCCTTTAGTGGATGCTAAGGGCCACCTATGAGGGCTGCTGTGTCCTGATCAACTTGAGCTGCCTCTTGGGCAAACTCAGGAATGTGAAGACCTTCCCTGGTCTCCCAACCTCTGGGTGGGGCCTCCTGCATCCACACCCAGTGTGGGAACTAACGCTATGATGGCAGATGTGGAAAAATAGGCCACGAATCAGGAAGGAGTATGCAGTTGGTCTTGCAGCCCAGGCTCAGCCCCGGGGGACCCTGGCAAGGTCATTGAGAAGGTGCCTATTCCACTACAGAACTCAGGTGCCCAGGAAAACGGCTCTATGCCCGCCTGAACTGAGTTTTACAACTTCTCCAGCTACTGTGCCTGATGTCCAGGTGAAGGAGGACCATGTCTCCTGGGACTCCCCAAGGGTCCAATTGTACAAATCAGGCCCAAGCAGTTGGAGACAGCATCTGAGATGTAGCTATGCAGAGGGAGCCAACTGGGCCAAGCCAGACACCCTCTTCCATCCACTTCTCCATGGCAGCATGGTTTGTAAGGCTGGCACTTGCCTGTGGGGAGTCTTGGAACCTCAGAGAATGGGGGAGGGCATAGTACAGGGGTCCCATCCTGGTGGGAGTAGGTGGGCTCTAGAAATCCAGCCAGCCTTAGGAGTGCAGGGTGAGAACTCTGCCTGAGTCCTTGGCCCAAAATCACCTGTTCTCTTCCAAAATGCTCCTGGTGCCTGGTGCACAGCAGAGCCCACCCACTCTGGCAGGAATGGTCCTCAGGAGAGGGCTGCAGTGGTCAGGGGGCTCCTATCAGACCTCCTGGCCCATTGCTAGTATGCTGGGAAAAGGGCTGGGTCCCTCTCCTAGCTTGCCCTCAGTCCTGGGGGGCTGGAGGTGGGCAGGGGCATGAGGTTGCTTCCTTCCTGTGTGTGGTACATGGTGCTGGGCACTGCTGAGGGATGCTGTGGTCTAATGCTGACAGGGCACTGCTTGCAGGGCACACCCGGGAGAAGTCAAGGTCTAGAGTAAGTAACACCCTGACTTATTGCTCACAGAAGCCCCTCTCTCATATGATAGGACTATGACCCAGAGATGCCTGTAGCTGGCCAGGTTCTGGCAGGGGCAGGTAGATGGCCCCACAAGTGAGGCTGGGAGATTGGAAGGCCCCACCCGGGAGCCTGTGGAGCTGCTCATGACTGACTCAGAGCCTCAGTTTCGATCTCGCCCAGACTTTCGGTGGATGAGGTCCTGGGGCGGGGCAGGGTCCATTTCCTCTCTTCTCTTTGGATCTGAGTTCGTCTGGCTGCCCAGGAACACACAATGCACATACTGTCACACATACAGTCAACATGAGAGCCATAGCCACTCAGACCCCAACACACAGAGACCATGTTCCACAGGGACACGCCCCTCCACTCACCGGCCCGGGGATGTAGCGGAAGATCCTGTCAGCTGCCAAATCCCCTTCAAGGCCCGCCTCCACACCAAACAAGCCAGCTAGCTTCCTCGGGTTTTCTCTGAGGACAAGGGAAAGGGGCTCATGGCACAGTTCTGGAAACAGGTTAAGGCGATTCTGCCAACAGCTGAGGCCTCGCCTCTCACCTGCTTGCCTTCAGCGAGGGTTTTCTGGAAAAGGAGGCCCGCAGCCTCCTGGGGGCCTGAGGGACACACTGGCTGTTCCCCATGGGTGACAGTGGCTGCCCTGGGCTGAGCTGCTCTACTATTCTGGGTCCCAAGGAGGCTCTTGTCCACCTCCCCATGGTAGGCTGGGCTGTGGATGTCCTGCCCCTAAATAGGGGCTGGGTGGGGAGGAGCCTTCTTGGGAAGGATTGGCCTAACAGGAGCCAGGGACAATCCCTTTTCACACAGGTGCCGACAGGCCTTTGGGTAGGAGGAAGAGGGTATTTTCTCTTATAAGAACAGCTTCTAGCCGGGCGGGCGGGCGGGCGTGGCGAGGAGGCTGAGGTGGGAGGATTGTTGTGAGTTGGAGACCAGCATGGGCTATATAAAGTGAGCTCAAGGCCAGCCTGAACTGCATAGCGAGATCCCGTCTCAAAAAACAAAACAAAACAAAAACCAGCTTCTACCTCAGCCTCACGTCTGGACAGGAGGTACCACCTGGGCCAGTGAGCCTACTGCCAGCCTATCTACAGGCCAGGGATACCTGTGTACTGAACTTGTGAACCCAGGAAGCCCTCCCCTCCAGGTGCCTCCTCCCCAACATAAGCACACATCCTGTTTCCATAATTCCAGTTTCTCTGAGTCACCAGTGAGGCAGGGGGTGTGTCCTTAACTCCTAGCTCCCTTCTGCCAACATCTCTTGCCTGGGGTCAGTCCTCACCCAAGAATAAAGTCAGGGTCTCCAAGGTGTCACAAAAAAGGAAGGTGGCTGCAGGCCACCTAGATGCTCAAGACAGCGCTGGTTAGGTGGGGAGCTGGTCTCCCACTTGCACCCCCACCTCCAGAGGCTGACAGGAGCCTCTGAGGACTAAAATGGCAGACAATCTTTACTGGTCACAGGGAGACCAGGGCTCCTGTCCCACCTGGGTGCTAAGCACACCCTTGCAGGTCTGACATTAATGCAGCATCTTGGTCCATACGCTCTTGCCCTGGGCTGATAGGACCATAGGTTATGCTGTATTCCACAAGGCAAAGGGGACAAAAGAGGCCAGAGATGGACACTCAGTCTTCCAATCCATGGAGCCCAAGAAACACGTTTATTGTTCAAGTTGGCTCATATTGCTGTGTAGGGTCTGGGTGCATGTGTGCCCAGCCCCAAACAAGACCCAGAAAAGACACCAACTACAGACAGGACACAGAAGGAAGCCTGCTTTGTGCCCTTCCCAGGAACAGTGCTTGGCTGGGCCAGGTAAGGGTGCTGTGCAAAGCAAGGGCTAGGGGTCTGCACCTGTTACAGAAAGCCTCCAATCTCTTCCTGCTCCTAATCCTGGCTGCTGAACCCTCTGCAGAGAGTGTCCCCCGCTTATCACTCCTGCCCCAGGATGGAAGTTGGGAGGAAACTCTGGAGGGCAGCCTGGTCCCCACACACAGAACAGCCACACTTGGAGAGTAAACACATTAACTGGTAGCTGCAGAACTGCTCATCCAACAGTAAATAATCAATCAATAAATAAACAGCACACACATAAACGAACACAGGAATGAATGTAGACATGGACAGACATTGTAGTATGTCCCTGCTGGGAGTTGTGGACCCTGCCCCCCCGACATTCAGCCGGGGACAAGGAGATGCAGGGGCCACTCTGTGGGGCTTAAGGCATGTAGGGCCTCTATGTGGTCCATAGGCAGGTCAGAGGCTCGTAGAGGACACAGACAGCGTAGGTGAGGATGGTGGTGGGAAGTTGAGTAGCTCCAGCACTGCCACGCCCACACTGCTGCGCCTTGTGAACATACAGGAGGCGGCCACCCATTTATTGGTCCTTGGGTTGTATTTCTCAATGGAGTTGAGGCTGGAGCTGCCATCGTTGCCCCCCACGGCGTACAACCATCCATCCATGGCCACCAAGTCATGCGTGCTCCTGGGGGTAGGAAGACCACAGTGAAGTAGTGGGCGGGACTAGCAGGAGAGGGGAAAACAGCCTCCCCAGCAGCACACACCCAGCACGGCCCTCTGTGGTGGCTGGAACTGTCCACTGGCTACCCCTGGCTGCGAACCTGCGGATATTCATGGGTGCCACGCTCTCCCATGCGCCAGCCTTAGGACTGTATCGCTCCACTGAGTTGAGACAGCTAGTGCCATCATTTCCTCCTGCCACATACAGGGCACCTTCCAGCACTGCCACACCGGCAGAGCTTCGCCTGCTCAGCATGGAGGCTACAGGAGTCCAGGAGTTCACCTGCAGGGGTGACAGTACGGGTTGGAGGCCTACCCAACAGGGGCATCCCTCCCACTAAGAGGACCTACTTCAGGGTAGAATGACCCCAGGGAGCACTGAGGACGGGTGGTCATCACTGGGGTGCGTTATGCACCTGGGGCTCGTACTTCTCCACAGTGGCCAGGTGTGAGGAGCTGTCATAACCACCCACGGCATACAGGTTCCCATCTGCAGGAAAACAACACACCCTGGTGCTCCTGCTGGGTAGGGGGTGGGGCTGGTCCGCAGAGTAAGTGCACAGAAAGCAGGCCCTGTTACCCACCGAGTGTGGCCACACGCACATATCGCCTCCTGGTGCTCATGGCAGCAATGGATGTCCATGTTCCCGTCAGGGGGTCATAGCGTTCAGCACTGTAGGCACCAGATGACTGCTGACCATCAGCCAGGACAGAGAAATCATCCTCCCCCAAGGCCTGTCTTCCCAAGGAATGACTGAAACCCCCATAAAACTCTAGACACCAGCAGACAGCAAGGCTTGCTGGGCTGCCACAGGCAATGGGGTTGCCTGCATGATCCTGGGCGAATGTGCCTCCCACCAGGCCAGCCCCTCGGCTGGGTCCAGTGCCAAGAGGAAAACAGGCAGAAAAGAAAAAGGCTCCGGTGCTGCTGTAGTCTGAGCCTTGGGGACCCCATGGCCTAAGACAGGTGGGACTTGTTCTCACAGCCTTACATCTTCCTGTTGAGCCAACCCAGTGAGGCCACTAGGGTCTGCTATTACCTGTTGAGGCAGGAGGCCCCGTCGTAGCCGCCAGCTGAGTACAAAAGCCCGTGTAATACAGCTACACCCAGGCAACTTCGCCTTGTGCCCATGGACACCTCAGGCTGCCATGTATTGGTCACAGGGTCATATGACTCCACAGTAGCCAGGTCTGAGGTCCCATCATAGCTAGGAAAGGGTTCCATTACTGGTCACAGCTGACCTAGCACATATGCGCAGAGTCCCCACCCAGATGTGACCTCTATGCTTACCCGCCCACGGCATACAGCCTGTTTCCAACAGCAGCTACTCCCACTCTGGCTCGACGTGTAGACATGGAAGCTACCACATGCCAGCGGTCAGTTCGGGTGTCATAAGCTTCACAGTCCCCATGGATGGCAAATAGGCTCCCTCCACCTGTTAAGGGGTGGTATATAGGAGGATCTCAGTTTGACAACAAATAAGAAGGAGCTCTAGAACAGCTGGAGGGCAAGGGCATAGGTCTCTGATGAGAAGAGATGGGGACTGGGTCACACTGGTAGATCAGACCCCACAAACCCTTGAGAGGCTCCTGGATGGAGTAGGAGAGAAAAGCAGGTCAGTACAAGATAGGCTTGTGCTGGGCACGAAGAGGGAAGGCCCAGTGTAACAGCCTGAGAGAGGAGGGGCCAAGTGGGCATACCCACAGCAAAGAGCACAGGGCCGGCACCCTCACAGCGCCGAGGCCGAGTGCGGCTGGTGCTCAGGACGCCTCTCTGCTCAGGCAGCAAGTGGAACTTGAGGGCTTCAATAAGCAGGTCTTTGCAGTCGGGATGATGTCGCACAAGACTCTCGGCATCCACATGACCCAGGAGAAAGTCACGGCTCAGCAGAGGCAGCCGCACACACTTCATCAGCTGGAGTGAAGCATGCCAAGGTCAGGAGACCCCCTAGGCACACTTGTCCCAGGGATGAGACGCCCAGCTCAGAAGCCCTTGTCATCTGTATGATGGGTGCTTGAGCTAAGTGTCTGCCCTTACCCTGTGGGGCTCCTGGTAGGAGAGGCCAGGGACTCCATGAGGAATACCCAGGTCTCAATCACCTGTGTCCCTCCCAGATACCATGGGAGCCTCAGGGCTTGGTCTTACCCGGGGGACATGCTGCCTCCGAGTGTCCACATCGTGTTTGACCCAGCTCAGGACTGCACGGTAGACATCTTCTTCTGAAGGCACATTCAGGCTGTCGCTAGAGACCAATTCCAGCACCTGGAGGTGGGGGCCCTCAGACCTGAGACCTAGGGAGGGTCCTGTGTGCCCAGGGAGCCCTGAAGGTGCCTGGGAAGGAGGTTCCAGCTGAGGACTCAGTGTTCCTACAGGGAAGGGCTGAGCAGGGTCTGGAGCCACAGATTCCATTCCCAGGGAAACCTAAATCCACTGGTCACGGTGACACAGAACTAGGGGTTACAGACACAGGTATATTAAGAACAGGATTGAGGGGAAAAAAAAAGAACAGGATGGGGAAAGAAGTAGAAAGTAAAGACTTGGTAGAATCAGATAGTGGCGATGGGATTTGGGGGCCCCAGGATGGTTATGGTGTGGATATGGGAGATGAGAACAGCACTGTGGGACTGGTTGGTGGGGTTCTGTTATCTGGGCTGGGGCCAGGGCATAATTAGGGCTGCACGCCAGCTAGCACGTTACCTGCTTTAGCGGCAAGAGCATGAACTCCTCGGTCTTGGCCACGTCCACGAAGTGCTGCAGCACGTACCTGTGTGCTGCCTTGAGCAGGTCACTGCATGAGTGTGTGTCGGCAAAGCCCCGGATTCCTAGGCAGTTGGAGGGGTCCAGCTGACTCAGCAGGAACTTGCAGCAGGCGTCTCTGACACCATTCAGTTGCAGGAGGCTGGCGGCTGGGAGCAGTGTCTGCAGGCATAGAGGGGAAAGTGAGGCAAGAGTGTGCCTGGGAAGCAGAGAGTAATTGGAGCCTCGAGGACAGGAGCCTGAGGAGACTCCCTTAGGGGATGGCAGCAGTCTCACCTGCACATTGCCCTCGCCCACCACAATCTCAGCTGTGTATGCAAACTGCACCAGTTGGTCCAAGGCCTGAGGATCAATGTCATGCAGTGTCACATGGGTCTGTCGACTCTCGCTCATCTCATCTGTGGGGATAGAAGAACAGGAAATCAGGCTGGAGTCTGCCTGCAGGCCTGTAGAAAGTCCTGCGTGCCAGCCACCCAGACACTAGTACTTGCTTGTGAACATGGCGTGAAAATAGGGGCTGCAGGAGGCCAGCACCACCTTGTGTGCACGGATCTCCTTGGCCGCCACGTGTAGGACGATGTCACACAGGAGCCCGCGCTGCCGCATGCGGCTCATGGCTACGAAGGCGTCGTGGTAGTGCCGCTTGGAGTTGTGGGCCACACTGTGGCCTTCTCGGGTCAGCAGCTGCATGGCACCCTCCATGGGGGCTGTGGGCCGGGCCTGCCTGGGCCGTGCACGCTCTGCCTCTGGGCTGCAGGCAGGCAGGGCCAGGTCAAGTGTGCACTCCAGAGCTGCCCATCCCACCCTTTGGATCTGTGGGTATAGCCATCGCTCCAGCCGTCCCACCAGGAATCCAGCAGCCCATGCACAACTCCATGGAGGTCACTTTGCCACTGACCCGGCTCTCCCACCCCGGATCTCCTTTTTTGGAAACTCCCTCAACAACTGGCAGGGCCAGGACCTTGCGCCCTGAGCATGACCTGTCCAGCCTATCTGACCACTGCAGGCCCTCTGAGACTCATGCTGCCGCCCCGCTGTCCACTTGCCCACCCCAAGGGGTCGCTGCCCCCAATGCGCAATGAGCAGAACCCCGCTCCACTCCCACCGCCCTAGGCCCCACTCTGCGGGCAGACTCCAGGTGGCGGGAGGATCTGGCCTCCCAGGACGGACTACAGGCTTGGGCTGCACAGCGCCTGCTGCAGCAGACCCGCACCCTCGCCAGTGCCTCCGCCCACCCGCCCGCTCCTCGGCCCCACTCACGCGGGTGGCGGCGGCGGCGCCTCGGGCCCGGGCCCTGGGCTACCGTGCTCCGGGCTCTGCGTCCTGCCGGCCGGGCGCTCACCGCGCGGCTGCATGAACTTGGCAGTCCGACCCTCCGCCGAGCCGCGAAGTACTGGAGGAGCGGTGCACCGCCGGCCGGAGGGCTGCAGAGCCGCAGCGGTGGTGGTGGTGGTGGTGGTGGTGGTGGTGGTGGTGGTGGTGGTGGTGGTGGTGGTGGTGGCGGCGACCCCTCTGAGTAGCGCTCCCGCCTTCCTCAGCCACTGTTTCTCGGCGCCGCCCGCTCCGCCTCCTGGCTCCGCGCACACCTACCCCACTTGCTGGGTGGTACAGCTCAGCGTGCAGCGCCGGACCTCGCACTGGCCACTGCAGGCTGTGGGGTCGGGCCGACCAGCTCCGCGGACCCTCGGGGGCTCTCAAGCAGGTTCTCAATCCGGCTGTCTGGGCGGCAGGGGAGCGCGGGACTCTGCCTTCACGATGTGGCACTATCCCGAAGATGCCACTAACGGCTACCAGACATCGGCACTTTCTGTACAGCGTCACGGGCTGTGTTTCTGTCTTCCTCAGGATCCCCTGTGTTTTTTTGTTTTGTTTTGTTTTGTTTTTTTTTTGTGGTACCGGGGATTGAACTCACGACCTCGCAGGCGTCAAGCAGGCACTTATGCCGCTGAGTGCCGCTGATATAAATTCCCGACCCTTGGTTGTCCTTACTAACTTGTGAGCGGTTTTTGCATAGCACCCCGGTTGTTACACTTTTGTTTGTACTGCCATGCATCAACACATGATGGGCTGTGGGCAGGGCTGGGCGGGACACCCTGGCCTCGTTTTCCCAAGGTGGGAACAGTTATTACTGCGTCTTACTTAGTTGTGAAAGGCTGTCTGACCCTTTTCGGGCGAAAACGTGCTGCAACTGAGAGATCCCGCCCAAGGAACCGAGGGTGGGAAATTGCCCTCCCGCCTGGACACCGCTGGCACCGCGGCTGAGGAACCGTAGAGCCAATTGATGGGGAGGCGGGCTGGAGGCGGCGCTGGTCTTGAGGAAGTGCCACGAGCGCTCGGCATTCTGGGAACGGAATTGCGACACACGCTGTGCTCTTGTTGTCATGGCGGCGGCGCGTGGTCGCAAGAGGTATGTGGGTTCTAGGGCCGCGCGGTCTTTGGGTGCGTCCCCGTACCCTGAGGGTGTCTCCTTACTCTTTTCATGGAGTGGGGACCGGCGGGCTAACAGGAAGCTATGAGCTCCCCCCATCACTGTGATCCGCAGACGCCTGGCCGAGTTGACGGTGGACGAGTTTTTGGCTTCGGGTTTTGATTCCGTGTCCGAGTCGGAGACCGAAGAAATCTCGGAGCCGGCGACACCAGTAGCGCGCGAACGCGAAGCTGCCGAGAACTCGTGTGGGCCGCACCGGGGTGCCTCAGCCAGGTGAGTGGCGTCTCTTCGGCTCTCCCCGCGGTCTTTGGCGCTTGGCCGCTCGCTGCGCCTTCGCTCAGAGCCAGGCCTCTGGAGGTGGATAATACAGAAAACCGCTTCTGACCCAGGAGATGTCTCTGATTTGTGTAAATCAGTGTGTATCGTGTTAGGTGAGCGCTGTGGTCGGCATGATACAATAGAAGAGACTAAAGTGAGGTTGCTGGCCACGTTAAAAAAGGCAGAAGAGGTTTGGGAAGGCAACATTGAATGAGGATCCGAGGAAACTAGCTGTGTAGGCAGCAGAGCGGGAGCAGCAAAACCCTTGAGGTGGACAAGGAGTGGGTTTGTGAGGCAAATGCACCAGAAGTAAGGGCTAGGGCCAGACCGCAGACAGACTTAATAGAATGGTAAGTTATCGCGGAGCTCGAGTAGTTAAAAAAAGTGTCTTTGATTGTTGAAAAGGGTTGTAGGTCGCAAGGCTGGAACTTGGTGCAAGGGTTGAAGGTGGAGAGGAGTTGCCGTATTGACAGATGTGGTGGTTTGAGAAGAGGTGTGTAGCTCTGAAAGTGTTGATAATGTGCACTAAGGGCAAGTTCAGACAGCGGAGGTGGAGCATGGTGTGGGTACAGTAAGTCTGGAGGGAGCAAAGGTTGAAAGCATATGGTGAGATGCATTTGCTTAAGTAATGGCAAAAGGCTAGTCTGGAAAAGCTGAGCCTGCTGAAAACTTAATGTCCTCGGAGTCTCCTTGCTTAGTTGTTGGTTGAGGGAACAAACTAACCATGTCTGAGGATGCTAGCATGTTGGTCGCCCCTCTCTATGCCCTGTTTCTGGGGTGTTCACTGACACCTCCCCTCTTCTTAGCAGGCGTAAAGGCTGTGCCTCTGAGCACAAGAACCAGCTCTCTCGGCTGAAGTACAAAGACCCTGAGTTTTACAAGTTCCTTCAGGAGAATGACCAGAGTCTGCTGAATTTTAGTGACTCAGATAGCTCTGAGGAGGGAGAGGAGCAGTTGCACTCTCTGCCAGATGTCCTGGAGGTGAGGCTTGGGATAACCTTGGCAATGGGGAACTGCTACACCCTGCTCTAGCTTGGTCCTTTTTTGTCTGGTGCAGGAAGTGAGTGAGGAAGAGGATGGTGGAGAGGATGGAGACAGAGCGCCCAGAGGCCTGCAGGGGAAGAAGAATGACCCTGTTCCTGTGACCATTGGTATGGTTGAGAAGTGGAAGCAGGCAGCAAAGGTGGGAAGCAGCATGGGCTTGGCAGCTGAGCACCCCCACAGCTCTGCCCTTGTCTCATTTGTGGTATCCAAATCCAGATCTCCGCAGAGGGAAGGTTTTTTTCTGAGCAGCAACAAATAATCACATGTGTTCTTTTTGAGTCCTTCAGCCAGAGTCCAGGGACTCTGCCTGCTGCCTGAAGTCAGGCCACTGTGGGTAGACTTAGTGTTTATGTCTTTGTATTTTCTGTTTCTGTAATAGAAATATCTTGCTATAGGCAAGATAATTTGTAAAGAAAATATATTTATTTGACTTGCAGTTCTGCAAGCTGGTAAGACCAAGAGTATGGTACTGGTATCTGGTGAAGGCCCTGTGCTTTATATCATAATAGCAAGAGTGCTGAGTGTCTGTGTCTCTGTCTCTGCTGGTGCTGGTAATCAAACACAGGGTCCTACATATGCTAGGCAAGCAGTCTACCAGTGAGACTGCTCAGAGTGAGACTGCTCACACCCAGCCCCAACTTTTTCTCTTATGTAGCTATTAATGCCATCATAGGATGTCCTCGTGTAATTCTCTCTCAAATTTTCTGCTACTAAATACCATCAATATATGAATCTGGATGTTACATTTTTAACAGCATGTGGGCTTTGGGATGCACATGTTAAAAACAACTCTGGCAGCATTTGTTGATTGCTGGAGCCACGCTTTGCTGAGTATCTCATGTTGGCTTCTGCACAGAAAGTAATGGAGAGATCTATCTCCAGGTATTGTTTGGAGCTGGCTGTGGTTTTTGACTTAGTACTCTAATAGCCTTTTCCTCTGGGGTTCCTGAAGCAGACCTCCTGTGCTTCCAGGATGATGATAAACTTGTCTCCGTTTTTGTTGCTGATACTTGCTTCAGTGACCATGCCCCCATCTATTCAATGTATCTGAAATACGGGGAAGAGGCTCCTGTCTCTCACCAAGTAGGTTCCTCCCCTTGCGACCTGCTGCACCTTCAGTGTTCTTGTTCTTCTGTCCTTCAGCAGCACCTCACTCCCAAGCTGTTCCATGAAGTTGTCCAGGCGTTCCGAGCTGCCGTGGCCACCACCCAAGGAGACCAGGAAGGGGCTGAGGCCTGCAGATTCCAGGTCTTGGACAGTGCTGGTGAGCAGGGACCAGGGGCTCGAGTCAGGCTTGGTTGCAGGTGCTCTCCTGTAAGTGACATCTGTATCTCCTCCTTGCAGTGTTCAATGCACTGGTTACCTTCTGTGTCAGAGACCTCTTTGGTTACCTTCAGAAGCTGCTGTTTGGAAAGGCACCAATAGATAGCAACAGGTGAGAGAGTCGGTATGGTCAGACTTGATCTGCAGGAGAGGTTACAGGCTTGCAGGGCCCTGGGAGGTCAGAGGCATGAAGGACTCTTGGGAGGCACTCAGACCGTTGGAGTGGCTCTAATTGCTTTTCCCTTCTGGGAAAGAAATTCTCCCCTAGGATTTCTTGGGAGCTTGATATCAGCTTAGTATTGGTCTTGACTTTTCCTAAACCCAGGCTTGTCCTCTCCTTTCTCTATATAGGTATGATTCCTGTCCTGCTTCTTAATATCTGGTTAGCCTGTTTCTGACAGGTGTGTGTATGCATAGGCAGGTGTCTATTTGGTTCTGGGGCAGAGGGTGTAGAATGTCTTGAGAGAAGCTCAGCAAAGTGACTATATAGGAGGGGTCATGGTGGGGCTGGGAGTCTGTGCCACCTCATAATTTTAAGATAGTAAAGGTGTGGAGAGTTGAACTTATCCTAGTGATGCCTTTCAAAGGAAGCAGAGATGGTGTTAGCACTTTGAGGCAAGGTAGGAAGACGGTAGCATGAGGGTCCTGGTCTTGGTTCTTGTGGCTTTTCAGCAAATTTTGGTAAGCAGCTGATAGGGGACTCCGATGCAGAGACTCAGCTACAGTTGCCAGGTGTTTAGTGTTTAGGAGGCCAAAGGTCTGGGGTTTTAAGTGAAATTGAATTTATGGATGTGTGTGGCTGGGTGTATAGTACATGTGAGCCAAAGATGCCATCCTTTAGCAGTGTACATGGTTTGGCTCCAGAGGCTCTGAGTGTTGGCTGCAGAGTTCAAGTATAGCAGGTGAATGAGGACCAGACGAAAGTTATGTCTGAGGTAGGCAGCTGGGCCTGAGCATCCTTCAGAGATGCTGGGAGTCAGGATGCTGGGTACAATGACCCTATAGTTTAGCCACATAGGTGGCTTTGATGGGGCTAGTGCTGTTTCCTAAGGAGTAGGCGTCCGTCTGGGCCACCCTTGGGAAGCTTTGGTAAGCCCTGGTGTCACCAGCTGTGGAGCTCTAAGCTTTCTGTGAGAGAGTTGGGAATCTGTGCTGGGCAGGGTGTGACTGGGATAGGCTGAGGCAGCCTGTTTCTGTAGGGTGCTGCAGCCATCCAGCAGTGCGCTCTGGGGAAAGCTCCGTGTGGATGTCAAGGCATATCTGAGTGCACTCATGCAGGTACTGTTCTGGAAGCAGTGGAGGGTGGGCATGGGTGGCTTTGTCCCAGGTAAGGGGCTAACACTGTCCCACGGTCCAGCATTGCTTTTGTGTCTCAGACTCAAGTGGTTTGGGATCTCACTATGTCTACTGCTCTTTCAGCTGGTGACCTGTCTGGCAGAGGCCACAGTGTTGGCAGCAGTCCTGCAGCATATCAGCAGCCTGGTACCCTACTACCTGACCTTCCCCAAGCAGTGCCGTGTGTTGCTCAAGGTGGGTGTCCCCTCCCCAATGTGTGCTGTGGTAAGGTGCCCAGGCCATCCCAACTGCCCCACTACTGGCCAGGCAGAGTAGGCAGCTGGACCCATCATGTTTCTTTCTTCATTGTCTCCTCTTCTCTCATGGCATGGCTTAGGGATGTAAGAATAGGCAGTGTGTAGGAACAGGTTAGAGTTACACAATGTGCTTCTCATTGTGCCCTCGTGTGTTTATGTACAAGCATGACAGTTAAGATAGGGTCTCAAGGCTCTGCCTGTAGGCAGTGTGATGTGCTCTCTTCTACACTGCGCTCACTGTCTGTTATACTTGCACAACTTTTCTCTGACATGTAAATGGCTATTGCCCAGCAGGGACCACAGGAACTTCTGGCTTGGCTTCAGAGGTGTGCTGGCCCTGTTGGGGTCCTGGGTGAGGGGGCTGATACAAGCAATGCTGTGCCTTTTTCTTAGAGGATGGTGGTTTTATGGAGCACTGGTGAGGAGTCCCTGCGGGTGCTGGCCTTCCTGGTCCTCGTTAGAGTCTGTCGACACAAGAAGGATGTTTTTCTGAATCCTGTCTTGAAGGTACACATATGTCCATCAGGGTTAGTGCTGGGAATCAGCCTTGGTGGTAGATGCCCCTTTCTGGGCCCTGGCACTGTGGCTCTGGGGAGATCTGAGCTTTTAGGTCACAGTGTCCTTGCCAGGAAGTTGGGGTTGGTAGTGAGAGCAGGGGAGCCATGCATCTTCCTGGCCTCCATCTGTGACTAACTCTCCCTGATGGGGACCTTGCCTCCTAGTAGAGAAGGACATTGTCCATGGAGAATAGAGGCAGGTCTGAGGTCACAGCCTGGTTCCAAACTTTGCTGCCTAGCTCCAGACCCAGAGTGGCCTAACCAGTCGCAGGGCCTCTGGAACCCCTTCCTGCAGCTTTGATAGTTTTCTTATCCATTCATCAGCTTACCCTTCCTTGTCCCTCTGAACACCTTAGATTTTGCCTGGGGCTGGTGGGTGCAAATGTTTGGCAGCCTCGGAGGCCTGAGTTGGGGGATGGGTTCATGTGCAGGTTGTTTGCTCTGAGGGAAAGAGCCAGGGTTTGGCAGATGGCTTGGAGCCCCTGGGCAGTGGGTGCTCATGTGGCCTTGACTGGGGTCTCTGTGGCAGCAAATGTACATCACATATGTGAGGAATTGCAAGTTCACCTCTGCCAGTACACTCCCCCTCATCAGCTTCATGCAGCGAACACTGACTGAGCTGCTTGCCCTGGACCTCAGTGTTTCCTACCAGCATGCTTTCCTCTACATCCGCCAGCTCGCCATCCACTTGCGCAATGCCATGAACACAGGGAAAAAGGTACAGTTCGGCCCCTCCCCACCTGAGCTCAGCCCAGCAGAGGGTTTCCTCTTGTTGAAGGAGACAGCCCTGTGCTTTGCTGGGGGCTGTGGATGGGGTAGGCACACAGGGCGGCTGGCAGTGAGCTGGGCTTCAGTGTGGGATTCACTCTGACCAGGAAACACACCAGTCTGTGTACAACTGGCAGTACATCCACTGCCTCCACCTGTGGTGCCGTGTCCTGAGTGTCCTTGGCTCCAGCGAGGCCCTGAAGCCCCTGCTTTACCCGCTTGTGCAAGTTGTCATTGGTTGCATCAAGTGAGTCCAGAATGGGGTTGCACAGGCCCTGGGGGGGTGAGGACTCTGGGCAGTACCACAGGTGACCAGGGTTCTCTCTCAGGTCTGACTGTAGTCTGGGGCAGGGTCTGGGATCCTCCTGCATGGCATTGGAAGAGGGACCAGATTCATGGGCATTCACTCTTCTGTGAAGTGAGGGGGTCAGCTGCACACAACACAGGATTCCTATTTTCTCTCTGTGAGTGTTGTATACCATTGCAAGGGCATTCTGGTTCTTCAGCCTGTGAGGTAAAGTGCTATGTGCCTTGCTGCCAGCAGGGGGTTCTGGCATTGCCCTGAACCTTGGAGACTTGGCTGGGAAGGGAGGCCAGTAGTCCAAGGGAAGAAACTCCAAAATCAAGGTTTGGGAAACAAAGGGAAGCAGAAATGAGCTGCCTCCATTAGAGTGAAGTTAAGTTAAAACCTAGATTGGATTTAGTCCCTAGTACTGCCAGGAAAAAAAAAAAATCTCTACAGCTCTGTAGTAGAGCAAAGAAGCACGTCCTTAGGTCAAGACCTGAGTTGGGTCATTTTGTTATGCCCTGTTCTGTTTGGGGAATGCGGTGCTGTCTGCTGTGGATAGTGTGGCCACTTGCCCAGTAAGAATGACAGGCCTTCGTGCAGCTTCAATCCTGTAAGGGGGCAGAGGTTGGAGGTAGTGGGGTAGCCAAGGCTAGTGTCAGAGGCAGACTGCTCAAACCTAGCCTCTACCTTTTGTGACTTCCCTGCCACAGGCTGGTACCCACTGCACGTTTCTACCCACTGCGCATGCACTGTGTACGTGCCCTGACACTGCTATCACAGAGCACTGAGATTTTCATTCCCGTGCTGCCCTTCATCCTTGAGGTGAGTAGGTTACACGCTGCCTGTGAAGTGTCCATGTGACTTTCCTGAATTCGTTGTCTTTCCTGTCTAGGGTGTGAATTTGTGAGCATGTTCTGCTTAGCACTTTGTCTCCTGTCTACTTCGGTCATGAGTATCAGTTACATATGTGCTCTCAGGGTTGGGCCTGAGGCTGCCAGCTGTGCAGCCAGGGAACTGACTCTTACCATGTAGGTGTTTGCTCAGAGTTGGAATGCGCAGGAGTGCTGGCCCTGCAGTCCAGACTGTGGTTGTGTGGCCTCTAAGAGTACTACCTAGACAGTTGTGTGCATGGGCTCATGAGTGCTGCTGGGATAAAGGAAGGCTGGAGCCTGAGTTACTCCAGAAGTCATCATCTCTGTGTATCCCCGCTCTGGGATGTGTCAGGGAGGAGAGAAGGCCCCAGGAAGATTCCCGTCCCCTTGTGTTGGGCAGGTTGCTGTGATTGGTGAACATCCTTTGGATGTCACATTTCTTGAGAGTAAGCAGCAGTCCTTGGCCAGTCCTTTGGTCCTTCTGTCATGGCATTCCCCTGAGGGCCTTCTGCTCTGCCAGCAGCTCTGGTCTTGTCTCCCCAGGTCTCCATCTTCTGTGGCATTGTTCCCTTTGTGTTTGTATATATGTATATGTATACAGGGTGGAGAGGAGTAGGGGCGTCACACTGAGATGGGGGTCTCACTAAAGTTGCCCAGGCTGGACTCAAACTTGGAAGCCTCAGCCTTCCCTGCCTCAGCCTTCCCTGAATGCTAGGATTACAAAGCTACACCACCCCACTCAGCACATCTTTCTCCTTTTTTTTTCTTAGAGTAGCCCTATGCTGCCCCCTCCTTGCTTCACTGTGCTGTGTGTAGCAGGGCTTTCCTATAACTAGGTGTGACATTTCTGAGAAAGCAGACCAAGACTGAGACAAAACTACCTACTAGGCTTCACTGCCCTGCCTTGATGGGTGGGCAAAAAGGGGATGTTGAGTCAGCCTCCATCCAGCTCTCTGCCTAGGCTAGAGTCAGAGCCTGTTCTCTGTTCTGGTCATTGTAAGTGATGCCGCCACCTGCCCTGCTGCATGAGGTCTCCCACTGATCATTCCTTCTGTTGCCCGTCTCCCACCACTCTGCACATGTCTAGCGCTTCCCTGCTTCCCTGGTGCCAGTGTGTGTGTAGGGTCTCCTCTTCTTGGGAAAATTGAGATGCCCAGTGTATATCATCTGGAGGACAAGCCTCCAGGACCTCTTCTGAGATATCCTCTCTCATATCCCTGTGCACTCATATCCCCATAACACTGTTCCTGTGTTATGGTGACATCCTCCCAGAACCTAGGATATAGCTGGGTGTGGCCTTGGTGTGGAGAGGAGTGAGCAGTGGGCCTTGTACAAGGGACCCTTCTTGGAGAGTGGTTGTACACCTGTAACTGCTCATATACTGAGACATGATCACGCTTGGTGTGTGGCAGTGGCCCTTCCCTCCTGTGTTTTTTTGGCTGATGATGCCTAGCACTTAGGGCACTTGCTTCTGTGCTCATGGTCCCAGCCTTCCTGTCTTTGAGGGTGCCTCAGGAGCACTGCTCCTTCCACTAGGGCTGCTTTCTAGGATGAAGGGGCTAGAGCACTCAAAGACAGAATCTGAGGAGTCTGTGGGCTTCAGGGCCTCTCTTACATCTGCCTGCACACTCTGATGATTTCTGAGGATAGGTCAGGTGACACACCCCGGGGGCAGATTTTTCAGCAGGTGGACTTCAACAAGCGACCAGGCCGGATGAGCTCCAGGCCCATCAACTTCTCTGTGATCCTGAAGCTGTCTAATACAAACCTACAGGAGAAGGCTTACCGGGTAAGGCAGGCTCCAAGTGCATGGCTGTGCTTGGGAAGGGTTGAGATGGATAAGAGAGACTGCTCACCTTAGCTTCAGGCAGACCTTACCTTTGCAGTCTCGTGGGTCAGGGACCACCGACTCTTGAATTCCAGCTCCTGTGATCCTTGAGTGTGGCTTGGTGGGGTGAGGGTTGGGGGGATGGGGTGGTGCGTCCTTGTGCTTTGTCTTGGAGATTGAGTGGATTCATCAGCCTGAGGTCAGAGGCCCTGAGTGGCTGTTTCCAGTCCTGTGGTGAGCTTAGTCTTGTCCTGCTGCCTCAGGATGGATTGGTGGAGCAGCTGTATGATCTTATCCTGGAGTACCTGTACAGCCAGGCCCACAGCATTGCCTTTCCAGAGCTGGCGCTGCCCACTATCCTACAGGTATGTTCCAATTGCCTGGTTCTCTTTATACCACAAGCACAGGCCAAAGGAAAGTGTCATGGTTCAGTCACACAGGGCCAGTAGATGAGCCCAAGCAGTTTATGGACTCCGTACTGGACCCCCGGGGCCACAGTATAGTGATGATGATCACAGGGATATAGGACCCTTAGGGGCTTTCTCTTCAGTGGCCATGGAGTTGGCTCTGGATGAGGGATTATCAGCCATACAAGTTGGCATGGACCTGAATGACACACTGGCCCATTTCTGGGCAAGGCTGATACTCTGCTGTTTTCCAGGTGGTTCTGAGGGTGAGGTGGGGGATTCTCTTGAGAACAGCCTCTATATTTATGCATATCTGCTTGCTCTCAGTCCAGCGACTTTTTATCTCAGATAGGCCTGCCCCTCTCACAGGAAGGGGCACAGCTGTTCCCATCTGGCCCTGGAAGGTGAATCAGCTCTGGTAGTCACAGGCCTGCTCAGAAGGCTTCTGCTCACATCAGTGCTATACCTGGCTCAAGCCCATCCAGACACAAGTGTGTGTTCAAGATAGAGGTTGTACACCTGTAACTGCACGCATACTGAGTCACACTTAGTGTGTGGCAGTGGCCTCCCTCCTGTTTCCTTGGCAGATGATGCCTAGCAGAACACTTGCTTCTGGGCTTAAGGTCCCAGGATTGTAGCTTTAGAGTAGAAATTTTGTAAATGTCAAAACAGTAAATAAGTAGTTCAGATTTTGCAGGTTATGTGGTTTCCCACAGTTGTTCTCTGCTCACAGTGCAAAAGCAGCTAAGAAGCAAATGCATGCTGTGTGCAGTGGATCTTTATTTACTACACAGGCAGTGGATAGGATGGGGCCTTTAGTGGGGGTGATTTCACCCCTTAGCCCTGCAATCCCTTTGTGGGCACTTGGGTCTGAAACATTTCTGTTGAGCTTAGGACCGTGGGTGACTTATGTGGGTCCTGGGCTTTGGGTGCAGAGCAGCTCTGTGTGGGAGCTAGCTGAGTCTCCTCCCTTCTGCAGCTGAAGTCCTTCCTCCGGGAGTGCAAGGTGGCCAACTACTGCCGGCAGATGCGTCAGCTGCTGGACAAGGTGCAGGAGAATGCAGAATACATATGCAGCTGCCGCCAGAAAGTGTCTTTCGGTGTATCTGACCAGCTCTCAGTGGTCAGTTGGGAGCCATGTCTGGACAGGGTTGGGTGGACAGGGAAGGGTACTGCCAGAGAGCACTGGCTCAAGTGTGGCTGAGATGTGGGGGTAGGGCATGACCCCAACCTGTCCTAACCCCCAGGATACTTGGGAAAAACGGGCCCGGGAAGAGGGAACCCCACTTACCAGGTACTATAACCACTGGCGGAAGCTGAGGGACCGAGAGATCCAACTGGAGATCAGTGGCAAGGAGCGGGTATGTCGGGCCCTGATACTGGGTGGATGGGTCAGTTGCATTCAGATCTTGCACACTGGCATGACTTAAGACCAGGCAGGGAAGATTCTAATTGTACCCATGGTTTGGAAGCTGAGAATGGCTTCAATGGGATAGGGCAGGGCAATGACTGGCTGACAAGGCAGTGAACCTGTTCTCACCTTGGAGTGGGGGAGAGTGTAAGAGCTCATGAAGATCTGGCTAGAATTAGGGGGCTTTTTCCCAAACCCGTTACACTAGGGTGGAGGTCCCTTCCCTAGTTCGTACCTGATGGGCAGAGGGTATTGAGGGAGCAGTGTCACCCAGGCCATCCTCTAGGCACCAGGGTGGCAGGCGGCAGGGGTTGGGGTGGAGGGCTGAGGAGCATGCCGTAAGTGTACTGTGACCTGGCACCAAAAGGGTACCTCGTAGAGAGCAGCTGAGCAGGGCCTGCATGACAGGCTGGGAGATTTCAAGAGAGCCACCAAGGGAGGGAGGAATGGGACGTGGGGTTTGGGTAAAGCCTGGTAACTACTGGCCACAAAGCAGACCTGCTGCAGAGCCTGGCTCAGGTTGTGGGCGAGCTGAGGTGAAAAGGTAGCTGGGGCTAGGTGCTCAGCTCCCCCCAACTCCACCTGCTGTGTGGTTTATTCTCCAGCTGGAAGAGCTGAACTTCCCCGAGATCAAGCGGCGGAAGGCAGAGGATAGGAAGGAGGAGGACAGAAGGGAGTTCAAAGACCTGTTTGACCTGGATAGTTCTGAGGATGAGGAAATCACAGACTTCTCAGAGAGAGGTGGGCCTGCACTGCTTCAGCATGTACGGTATGAGAAGGGGCAGGCATGAGGGGACCCAAATCTGGCCTAGTGGGGCAAACACTGAGAGACAGTCTCTCAGCCACGGGTTTTTCCTTTCTCTCTGAGGTGAGGGTCTCCCTGGGCTCGGGCAGGGAACTTCCCTAACTATAGTATACTTTACACCTGTGTGTAGGAGTGTGTGTCCAAGCAGGGCTGTGAGCCTGGACCCGCCTCCTGCCTAGGCATTCCTACTGTGCCTTTGGGGAAGAGCCATGAACATAGGCTCTTCTTGGTCTCCAGGGACAGCTGGATCCCTAAGAGGTCAGCAGGAGGCAGAAGTGGAAGAGGATGATGGGGATGACCAGGAAGATGAAGAGGAAGAGGACAGCAGTGTCTCGGGAGGTGAGTAGTTCCCAGGCCAAGGAGGCTGGCCCTAGAGCCCATCTGGCAGTCGCTGCAGGAGGGTGGCTCTAAGCCAGGCTTGTGCTCCGTGCTGGGATGCCAAGCCAGCTGTTCTGTTCTCAGGGGCTCTGGCAACCAGCTAAAGCGGCACCAATAAATTAATTAGTGCTGCGGTTAATTAGTGATGAGTAACCTCTAAGACTGGTTTCTTCCTGATAAAGCAGAATTTATGTAGTCTGGACTCTTCTTACAGATGGAGACCCAGACGCAGAGGCGGGGCTGATCCCTGGTGAGCTATGGCGGCTGGCTGAGGGGCCACAGGATGAACTGGAGGATCTGCAGCTTTCAGAGGAGGACTAGGTCTCCTGCAGTGCCCTCGGGGTCTTGAGACCGGGGTCTGCCCCCTGAAGGGCAGTCAGCAGTCCCAGCATGGCAGACCAGGCAATGGGAACTGTGCCGACCTGGGTACAAGCATGATGGAGTCTGCCTGCTGCCCGGACCAAGACTAGCCTTACTCCCAAGGCTGCAGGCGAGCTCCTGGTCTGTTTTCCTTGTCTTTGGTTTGTCTGTATATCTTGCAGTTATCCCCAGAGTCTCTGAAAACTTGCCCTTCTCAAGTCACATGTTCTTCCTTTTAAAAATTCTCAGTGTTTTTGAATCCAGAAATGAAAGGAAAAAAATGCTCAGGGATGGGGGTTAGGGGACCACATATGGAGCTGGGGCATGCCAGTGGCCTACCCGCATTCTCAGCACAGAGGTTGGGAAGGGTCTGGGGCCCCAGGGAGCAGAGCCATGGGCGCGGTTCCATTTCCTTGCTTGGGTGAAGCTCGTCCCACAGAGGGGTGGCTCCCCCCATAGGGGGAGGTGGCTGTCAGTGACTGATCTCCTGGGGTGAGCTCTTCAGGACCCTGAAGGGTTGGTGGTGGCTGTAGTGGCAGAGCCACAGGGAAGCTGGCCATGTAGAAAACTCGGCCCAGGCGCTTGGCCACCTACAAAGAGACAAGCCAGGATAGGCACCTGCCAGGGGGCTTCCTTCAGCTACAGAGCCTTTGTCTCCCATGTCATGCTCACCTGGGCCCGGATCTTGAGGGCAGGCCCCAACTTCAGCCCCATGGTGGTGAGCAGGTGCTCTTCAGTCAGCAGAGGCAGAGTCTCCCCATCGATCCCTTGTTCTCTGAACACCTGGGTGGTAAGGGCCTATTGGTCACCCAGCAGGGGCCCCAGGGCAGAGCCAAGAAAAGCAGTCTGCAGCTTGTAGGACAAAGTCATGAGAAAGGAAAGCCCTAACCCCATGTGGGCTGTGTGAAAGCCAGATGGGCTGTAAGGGACTGAAGGGTGGGTACCTGGTAGCCCCACCTGGCCCCAGAGTCAGTAGCTCCCTCACCCGAGTATACTCCGCACAGCCAGACAGGCCCCCTACAAAGTTGCAGACATCATCCACTGTCCACTTGCCGATGTCTTCAGGAGCTGTGGCCGCCTCTCCATCCGAGAAGAGCCCTCCCATGGTGCCTGGATGTACATGGAGGTGTCAAAAGGTCTCCGGCCCATATTTTCCCATGTCCCCCGTCCCCCACTTTCTGTTGACCTTTGCTTTCCCAAATTTAGATAGAGGATGGATGGTCCCAAAAGAACCGCCCACTAAAACTCATGGATGGTCAGACTGAGTCTTTTGTCTCCTGTTTGTGGATACCCACCTGTGTGGAAGTAGGGGCTAACTGTGTAGGGGAAGCCCAGTGGCGGTGGTGGGGGTAGGGCAGACCCTGAGAGAGGCCTTTTCCCCTCCATGCTACCCTCTCCAGCGGGGGCTTGGCTCGAGGTAGAATCCTGGCTCCCAGCAACTGCCATCTCCAGGTCCTCTCCATCTGAGTCTTTGGCAGGCTCGTCCTCTGTGCCATCTTGAGTCCAGAGCACAGTCCCAGTTGCCTCTTTAGACTCGCTGGGCTGGGCTGGGGCAGAAGCGGTGCCCCCTTTCCGGGAAGCTCGGCGGGCAGACTCTCGGGGTGGAGTAGGAGGGCCTGGGCCCGGTGGGCCTTGGGGCGGCAGGGCTAGCAGTGGCGCCGAGCTGTGTTTCAGCACCAGCAACGCCCCGCGCCGCTGCAGCTCCTCAGTACTGTCTGGGGCGCGCATGGCCGCCTCTGGCGCCAGCAGCTGCGGTCGAAGAGCGCTCTCCAGCTCCTTTTGCCGAAGCAGCTCCGCTGACATTTCCATCCTGACCCAATAGGGGAGACGATGGGTCTGACTGGTGCTCGGCGCGCACCCACCACCAGCCTGCTAATCTCTGGCACCTACCGAGCTAGGCTTTGCTTCCGAAGGAGCTCCTGCTGCCGGGCCAGCATCTCCGCCTGGGCAGTGGGTAGGAAGCCATACCCTGGGGGAGGGGAAGGGGACAGACGAGGGCCAGGTGGCTAGGGTGCAGGCTGGTCAGCCTGGTTGTCTGCATCCCTTCCGGTGTCAAACTCCTCTCTATGCCTCCCCCAACCCCCAAACAAAGGGTTTGTACACCCGCCTGTTCCTCACCTGGGGTCTGGCACAGAGCCGAGGGCACCCCCAAAAAGGGGGGCCTGAGATGGGAACCCAGGGCGATGTGGGAGGCATTCTGGGGCGACAGCAAGGGGGTCGGCTGCGACAGCTCCCTGTGGATGGCGGGGACGTGGGCGGCGCACGGCGGGCCCAGCCCTCTCCGCACCCAGCCTTCGCGTAACCCCTCGGCACACCCCCCACCCCTCGCCGCTAATTGCAGGCCCCGCAGGCGGTCGATGCGCCAGCTCCTCAGGGCTCTGGGTCGAGCGCCGCCCCCGCCCCTGCCGGCGGCGCCAATTAATCTCCGCGGCGGCGCGGAGGCGCTGACCCGGCGGGCGGCTGCGACTGCAGCGGTAATTACCGAGCCGGGCTGTCCCCCCCTCCCCTTCTCTGTCGGCTCCCCCACTCCTGCGCCCCCCCTCCTGCAGCCGGGGCTTGCGGCTTAATTAGCCGCGATCTCGAGCTTGGCGTCTGCAGCTGGCCTGGCGCAGGGGCGGCCTGCGGGAGGCCGTCTGCGAGCCCACAGCTCCGGCGTCCGCCCAGCGCGCGCGCGGCGCTGCTCGTCCCCCCTACCCCCAGGCTCCGAACGAACCGGAGTCTTCGGCCGAGTCGCCTGGGGCCATCACCTCTGCCTCCGCTTCCCAGTCTCCCCCGCACCGCACGCCAAGGTGTGCCCTCAGCTGTCCCAGGGACACCTGGGTTCTGCGGCTCCCCGTTGCTCAACAAGGGAACCATAGTGAGCTTTTTGCATTCCACCCCACTTGTGCCCCAGAAATAATTTCCTGGGCCCCTGGCAACAGACCCTAAGCCCAAAATTGAGCACGGTGTGTGGGACAGCCAAGGCTTGCAGGGGCCTACTGCTGTGTGGCCGCCACCCCAGTACCTCTCGGAGAAGGACGCGGTAGCAGTTGGCGTGGGGCCCTCGCGGTGTTGTGCCAGGCCCTGCTTTCTGCGCTGACCTGCTGCGGATGAGGGCAGGTGGACATCCAGGCCACTGGGACTCCTCAAAGCTGCAGCTGCCACCTCCTGCCGGACCCTCAGGAAATCTGTGGGGGCGGGCAGTGACTCAGAGACCGAGCTCACCTAGGAGTTCGCCATCCTGGAAGCCCAGTTGGCACCTCAGCTAGGACCACTCCCACTAGATCCCTGCTAAATCTGAGGAGGGACCAGAGCAAGAGCAGCCACAGAGTGAGGGAGACAGCCAGATTTCAGAATGAGGCGAGGACTGCCCCTATCCCCAACCGTAGGTCCAGGGGACCCTCAGGACAAGTTGTTGGTTTTTTTTTTTTTTTTTTTTTTTTGTCTTTTTCCTTTTTATCGGTACCAGGGATCGAACTCACGACTGCCTGCTTGCAAGGCAGGCGCTTATGCCGCTGAGCTAAATCCCCAGCCCCTCAGGACAAGTTTTCTGGGCCAGCTCCAGGAGGTCATGTAGACAAGAGCCCCGGAGCGGGAGTGGGTCTCAAACTTCGTGACTCCGTCCTGGACAGGAGCCGAAATATTTGAGATCTTGACACCCAGACACTGGAAAGAACTTGTCACTTCTGGCCACCGAAGTAGACACCATCACCGTTCAGCGTCGCCGCCGGAGGCCGACAGGCACAGCCACGCGGGTCTCCGCACTCCCCCTCGCGAGCCGCTCTGCCGCCGCAGCCTCTGTTTATAAATTAATTACCCGAAAAGCGGAGGTGGGCCTGCCCTGGGCAGCGCGCCAGGCCGCAGAACCGAGCCCGCCGGCTGCCCGCCTGAGTTGATCCCCGCGGGGCCCCGCCCGCGCTATTTGGAGCGGGCTCTGCGGCGGGGGTGGCGTGCACTGTGATTGACAGCAGGCTCCCGCCGCGGCCGAGACCCTCCCCCACACAGGCCAGCAGAGCTGGCCCCAGGCAGGGCACAGAAAGCAATTAAAAAGGAAGATTTTTAAATTATTAACATTTGGTGAATTATTCAGGCTCTCGTGCCTGAGCTGCCCTGGGGAAACAGTGCTTGTGCTAGGAGAGGAAGTCCTGCCCCCTCCTCGCCGCGCCCCCCTTCACTGCCAGAAAAGCCAAGCTTCCCTAACAGGGTTGGGTGGGTGAGGCAGAGTGCAGCGGACAGGGCGTCCCTGGGGGTCAAATAGGCCTACTGGGTGGTGAGGGTAAGGGCAGTGCTTGGACTGGGGTTCTGAGCAGCAGTGAGACCATGGTGGCCAAACCCTAGCTGTCCCTGTTCAGGAGGATCTGGCACAATCAGTGTCCACTGACTAAGGCTTGTGTCCAGACTGCTGTGGGAGGGGGAGCCAAAACAGGCCTCAGGGGCTCCTACACAGGGGAGCAGGTGGCCTGATCAAGTCTCACACCCTTCTCACCTGGGCTCACCCATGAGTTAGGTGTGTGCCTGGTGGACTTGGGGGAGGGTGGCTCCCAGGGATACACCCATGGTTCCCATGGCAGCCAGATATCCAGGGTCTCTTATAGGGGGTGACTGAGGGGCACATTTGGGAGCAGGGATCATGTAGGGGCACACACCGTGGCTTGGGAGGCCCAGTGGGTAGAGACGCTGAGGGTCCTCAAAGGTGCTGGCCTCATTGAGGGCTGACACAAGCCGACGGTAGTGGTCTTCGGGGGCCATGCTGGGCCCCAGTTCTGGCAGCAGCAGGGTCTCTGCATTGAGAGAACACGTGGTGAGGGTGCTTCTTAAGTTACTTCCAACAGGCAGAGTCAGGGCCCCTCTTACAATCCCCTCCCCAGGGATAAGGGGCCCTCAGGAATCAAGGACAAGACCCGCTTCCACCTCCAAGGACCTGTCTCCCACCCCTGGGCAGGCTCCCACCTTGGGGGGACTTGCTTCTGGCCCGCTTTTCTGGCGAGCAGTCACTGCTGATGTAGGGGGCGGTGCAGCCCAGCCTTTTGCCTAACAAATCACCTGTGGAGGGTGGAGACCGGGGTTTGGAGAGGAAGAATTTAGGGAGGGTCAGCTGGGGAGGAACTGATCCCTGCACCAGCTCAGCCTGGAAACCCTACCCACCATCCTTCAGAGGACCCTTCATCCTAACCTTTGCTTGATGAGCCAGCAGGCCTAAGGTTATCCTGGCAGGGGTGCCCACAGAGGTACTGAAAAACTGGGAACAGGCTCCCACTGGCACCCTGCAGCCCCGACCAACAGTCTAATCTCATGTGCAAGTTCATGGCTGTTTCTGGCTTCCCCTGGAAAACAGATTCTATCTTTTTCTCCTACGACGACATGAGTATGCAGGAATTTGGAGGCAGATTTCTCTTGCTCAGTGCAGCCCCCTCCACTCCCCAGCCCTCCCCAACACTGTTACCAGAAGGTGGAGCCCTTCATCTCTATTGCACTTGTCCTTGATTGTCACATACCTGCCCACCTGCCCAGCCAGGCTCTGAGCTCCTGAGGGAACCCAGAGTACCTTACTTGCTGTGAACAGCCCCTGGGTGCCAGATACCAGATTAGGCCCAGGCCCCATTCCTGATGTCCCCTGTAGGGCCCCACAGCTTACACCTCCTTTGCCAACCCACCCTAAGCACCTTGATGCTGGTTCCTCTCAGCCTCTTGATCTAAGCTAGGAGTCTCTGCTGAATGGCCCACGCTCTGCTACCAGTCCTTGGATAGGCTGGGCAGGTGTGTGTGTGACCTCCGTGTGATCCAAACCCTCCAAACACCTCCTGAAATGAGGCTACGAAACCTGTGAGCCCTAGAAGCCCTGCCTGGCTGACAGGTCCAGCGCCTAATTCTTTTTTCTTATTCCCTTAATCTGTCATTTTTATCAGGCTGGGGAAGTGCAGCAGTAGCAAGAGCCCCAATCAATCTCCACATTACAGTTGACAGAATGGTGCTAATAACTTATTGATCTCAACCACCTCTCTGCCACTGGTCTGACTGGCCACCCTCAGGGCCTGCCCCAAAGAGAAGGAAGGATAGTCTCCACTGCCTGGACAGGGTCCCTACCTGGTTATGGACCAGTGCGTGGATAGAGGGCACCTGGGAGTACTTGGATAGGGCAGGATGTTAGACCCAGAAGACAGGAGAGGCTGCTGCCGTGCCAGGTGGGCAGGTGGGTCTCTCAGGGCTGGGTAGCCTTGTCCCACTCTATCCTTGCTGCCCAGTGAACACATGCACACTCTTTTAACTTTTTTTTTCAGTACGGGGACTTGAACCCACAGGCTTCACACTGAGCTACATCTTCAGCGCTTTTAATTTATTTACTCTATTTTGGGACAGGATATGATTAAGTCACTAAGTTGACCAGGTTGGGCTCAAATTTGGGATCTTTCTGCTTCATCCTCCCAGAGTTCTGGAATTACAGGCATGTAAACACATCCAGTTCCTTAAGATTTAGTAAAGAGGGTGAAGCCCACCTGCTCCTTATTTCAACAATGGAAATTCCCTCTCTGTCTTGGAGGCTGAGGCAAGAGGATTGAAAATTCAAGCCCAGGCCAGGTAATTTAAGACTTAATGAGACCCTGTCTCAGAATTTAAAAAAAGGAGAGTGCTGGGAATGCAGTTCAGTGCAAATGTCCTGGGTTCAATTCCCAGCGCCACAAAAACAAAAACAAACAAACCCCACTTCTCTCTTTTCTCTGGGGTCTGGGGTTTTTGCTCCTGAAAAGGTTGTCACAGCCCAGGGGAGCCATCCCAGATGAGACCTAACCTCATGGCTACCTTGATGAGGCCACATTTACTTATGGACATATATTCTCAGGCACACAGGAAGTGGGAGAGGACAGGCACACTGGAAACAGGTGTGTGCACCCTGGGGGCAGGCACATGAAGCTACAAGTACTGCTCTAGCCTACTAGTCTTCCTCCCCAGGGAAAAGAAACCCAATGAGGGTGTCTCCTGGACCACAGAAAGTGACAAGTGGGAACAGGCTCACAGGGGTCAGCTCCTCAGGAATACAGGTATGAGCCTGACTACAGCACATACCGACAGCGGACCCTTGCACAGTATAAAGTGACAAAGGGACAGCTAGCCAGGTAGGCCCCAAAAAGGGACACCCTGGCACAGAGCATATCCTGGCCTTGGCTGAGGGCATGGCATATAAGCAAGCCTGTGTAGGAATGAGCTCCCCTTGCCCATACCTGAGGCGCCTCTAAGCTTAGGCTGCAGGGAGGGCCTGCTGCTCAGAACATCTCAATCACTGCAGGGCTCCCTCAGCTCTGCCTGATCGATGGGGCAATTAGATTTTATCAGCCACCTGCTCAGCTGCCTCAGCAGCTACAGAAGCAGTGACCGCCTGCCCCCTCCCACGAAGGCCTCTGAGCGCAAGAGGTTCTGATGGGATGGCCAGTGGAGTGAACCACACTCAGTGGGAAACATTCCTCCCCACGGTCCTGGCTCCTCTAAGGAGTGCCCTGGGCCCAAGCTGCAGTGGCCCCCCAACCCCCAACTCACACTGTCCCCAGGAACCAGCTCTCCTTGGCAGTTCAGGGAGCTCCTGGGCTAGTACTCTCCTGCCTGCCTGGCAGTCTAGGTTTCAGGACAGTCATTCTCTCTCAGGACCAGGGTGGGCATGCTCTGTGGACCAGTGAGTGGGTGAACATGTTCTTGCCCACATATTCTGGTGTGGACATTTCTGAGCCTCTGTGAGACCTGTGTCTGCCCTATGAGGATGGGGTGGTGTGGCTTCCACCACTCTGGGCCCACCCCAGCAGCAGCCACAGAGGAGCCACTACCTCTGCCGCCTGTCTGCCTGGCTGGCTAGGATTAACACAATTACCATCACAGGGAGGCCCAGGGGGATAGCCAGCCTCACACCTCCCACCTCTTCTGCTGGTCTCCCTGGCTGCTAGCCAAGGTGTCCAGAGCTGCTGAGTAGAAACATGGGGAGGGCGGCTGTCCTCGGGCTGAGCCAGTGTAGCCCTGGCAGCCCTGTCCTGTCCCTGAGGACTCCAGTGCTCCTTACCTGTGGGTCCCAAGCCAATCTCCACACTGCCTCTCTGGAATTCACAGCGACTCTGGTGCTCAGGCATAACGAGGTGGTGGTTTCGATGTACACTGGATATGAGAGTAGGAAGGCTGCTGTCCTGGCTGCAGCAGAGCAAGGCAGAAGGAGAGGAGGCCCATGAGCACCCACACAGGTGTGAGTCCAGGCACGCAAATGCTTGCTGAATGTGAGCATGGGAACAGTCAGTGCTGAGGGGGGTGAGCCCTGGGCACATCTCTGCGTGGGGCCTGACACCCCCAGGACAGACCCCAGTAAACCAGGGACCTGACCCTGGAACCCCACTGTCGCTCCCAGGCGGCCCGTCCTGCCTTCTTGTCTGCAGAGAGGAAAGTGCTGTCCCTGTTCCCTGCCTTGGAGGGCAGGCCTGTATTCCATCTCCTGATGGACAAGGCCAGAGAGGTCATGCTGTCACATATGTATTGCCAGCTCTTGCAGCAAGAACATGGCACGTGCCACTTTGATTAAAACTTGCAACCACCCCCATCCCTAATTTCATCCAATAAGGATGCTGAGGTTTGGACCAGTGCTATAGCTGACAAGAAGCACACCAAAGGCACTCAGTGCCAGCAATCACATGTGAGCTCTGTGAGTGGGCTGCTCAGGACATCCTGCTGTCCTCACTCCCAGCCAGGTCCCTTGCGCTTGGAACAAACTTGTTTAATTCTCTCCCCTCATTGTCTCCTTGCTACGACAGCTGAGTCCTCAGCCTCAGAACCCCAGAGAAAAGGAGCAAGTGGAGTACCACTCAGGATTCTGTGAGCAACCCCACCATCGACACAGCATAGAAGCAAGACGAAGCCAAATCCAGGACAGAGCTGGGCATGGTGGTGCACTCATGTACTCCCAGCACTTGGGAGCTGAGGCGGGATGATTGTTGCAAGCCTGAGCCACAAAGTGAGCCCAAGGCCAGCATGAACTGCATAGCAAGACCTTGTCTCAAGAAGACAAAAATAACAACAAAAACAAAGAAACCAAAAACAAAGCCAGGATAGAGGGACAGCAATGCCTGGTGCCTCTAGCATGTGCCCTCATATATGCTTTCCCCAGCCCACCTGTAGCAGAGCAGCCTCCTCCACAGCACTGACGCTGGCAGAGCTTCTACTTGGTGACTGGGAGTCAACCCTGGACCTCATTAAATAGTCCCTATCACCCATCTCAGGCTGGCTGAGCTAATCCAGGGCTGCCCCCTAAGCAGATCCGTTTCAGCACCAGATACCCCAGAGTGGCCCCAGAGCCACAGGAGGCCCAGACAGAATTCCCTCCCTGCCCCCACGGAAGCAGGGCAGGTGGGGAGTAAGTGCTTTATAGGATTAATCAGCACAAGGCTCATCCCCATCATCCTCACTGATGTGGGGTGGGGACAGAACTGCTGTCCTCAGCACTGGGAGAGGCCCAGGGCCAGCCTCACACAGAGCCACAGCTGCCACAGGGCTGCTTCCCACGGTGACCCTCCTCTTGCATTTCTAACAGCAGAAGGTGACCAGCTTCTAGAGGCTGGAGCGGGAGAGGATGACTGTCCCCTGTGAGTTCCAGCCTGGGCTGGCAGGAAGGTCCTGTGTTTAGACCAACTGCCATGACAGCCAACTCTTTTTTTTTGTCTTTTTCCTTTTTATCGTACCCGGGATCGAACTCACAACTGCCTGCTTGCAAGGCAGGCGCTTATGCCGCTGAGTTAAATCCCCAGCCCCGACAGCCAACTCTTTTCTGCTCTTGGGTGTACCAGGGCCCAGGGGAGGGAAGAACCAGGACTTGCACTTGCCATCCATAACCCCACTCTTTGCTTTGGGGGCTCACTCCCCAGGTCGCAAAATGGCCCCATCCTAAAAACCTGTTTTGGTCACTCTGCTAACAAATTACGTTGTTTTTGTGTGAGGAACTGAAAAGAACCAAACTAAAGATGATGAGTTGTGGTGGTCATCACAACATGGGTTCCCCACTGCAGCCCAGAAGAGGCTGTCTGGGCACCAGGGGAAAAAGCCCTGGCTCCCATCCAGAGTCTCCCCCACCCCTGCTACCTAGTGACGCCATGCAGTTCAATCCTTGCCCATCTTTCTGCCAGCTTAGGCTGGCAGAGGCCTGAGGCCATGTCCCCGGCCTGCAGGCAGTACTGTGTGGAGGCTTACGGGGTAAAGAGGGTATCTCTAGGTATTTGCTCCTCCAAACAGGCAACCATCAATGGTAGGGTTGGTTTGAAAGATAGAGATAGATGGACAGATGAATGGATGGAAGAGGGAGGACTGTCAAGAGAAAAGTGACAGATAGAGATGGATGGATGGATGACACAAGGAGACACAAGGACAGATGGATGGGCTCACAGGAAGTGACACAAACAGAATCAGGTGGGGCAGCACAAGGCAGTGGGTCCTAACTCACACACAGCCCTCCTGGTGCAGGTCCTGGGGGGCTATGTTGCAGGCGGGGAAAGAGGGGTGGTCAGTCCTTCCAAGCAAGCTGTGTGCCCTCCTCTTCAAAGCTGCTATCAAATTTAGAGAAGCACAGCAGCCCACTCTGGGGCTTCTGTAGACCAGGGAGCCACATGGACACAGGTCTGGCCTCTTCCAAGGGGCAACCCAGACTGCAGCAGTCCATGTTGTCACTGGACCCTGTGCAGACACCTGGCACCCTCCAGACACCCCCAGGCCAGGGGGTGTGAGAGGCTGCGGGCAGGAGAGGCAGTTAATGGTGGGAGCACAATCTCTGGGTTCTTTATAGGCCTCACTGACAAAATTATCCTGTAGTATCCCAGTAAAAGGCACATAAAGTGTCATAAGGATTCATAAAAGCTGCTGTCAGTTGAGCTGGAAACTTCAAAATAAGATGGAAATAAGTTTAAAGATGTTTTTATTGTAATTTGGCTTCAGAATCCAGACATTCTCAAATACATAAGTAATAACGCATCTGGCAAAAAGCCAGGACAAGCTCCCTCCTGGCTGTGTGGCTGGGCCTTGAGGAGACCAGCTGCTCACAGCTCTGGCCAGGAAAGCTGGTTTTTCACTGGATACCACTGCCTCCCTGGTGGACCCTTTCTGCTGTCTTCCCCTAGAAGTCATGGAATAAGACTTGACTCCACTGGCCACAAATCACAGACTAACCAGCTCTGGCCTTCAGAAGCCAGGAAACCGGATCCAGCCCAGTATCCCCAACCTTTTCATCACAGGCTATCATTTCTACTTCTTTGCTACTTCTTGAGTTCATCTCCAACTGTTTTCGTAGCATTAACCCACCTGGTCCCAGAGCCAGCCTCCAGCCTGCCTGAGAGGCTGGGCCTCCTGCCAGAGAGATCATGGGACATATACCTGGACATTATCCTCCCTGCTCAAGAACTTTTCATAGTTTCCCTGCCTAGAAGACAAAAGCCCAATTGGCCGGCGTCCAAAACTCAGACCTCTAACATCCAGCCGAGCCAATCTGCCAAGTTTGCCTTCCTTCATTTCTCCACAGCTTTGCAGACTTCTCCTCCTCCTTAGCAAACTCCTACACATCCTGCAAGACACTCACTCAAAGAACACCATTTTTAATTCCTGGTGGTCTCTGAGAGGGTAAGGTCACTCACAGCGTCATCCTCGAGCAAAATGCATCAAATGGGGATGTGACTTGGCTCTAGGGCTGGGCTGCCCAAAACCCCTAATAGGCTGCACACAATTCTATACTGGCTGAACTGTGTTCCCTTAGCAGGGCACCATGCCACTTGCATCCTAGGTAGGGCAAAAAGTTGACACATCAACCTTGAACACTGGACAAGATACCACAGGCAGAGGAGGGCAGAAGGGCAGGCAGCCTGAACTGCAGAAGCAGAGGCAGAAGCAGAGGACACAGAGCAACCGAAGTCAGTTGTGGACTCCTACCTGCAGGATGTCTCTCGGAAAGAGATGTTCACATCCCAGTGGGTGTGGACCCTGCAGGGAGAAGCCAAGGGTCAGTGTGGCTCCAGCATTGGCTTTGCACAGCAGAACATGGGGAAGCCAGTGGGCAGGGAATTGGGGGCAGCTCCTTGTTCCTGGTTCCACCTGCATCCCAACAGGCCCATGAGCCAGAACTAAGTGGGGAAGAATGGCACTGACCCTTCCTGAGCCATGCTAAGGGCTGAGGCTTCCTCAGAACCCTACTCATTCATTGAAATCCAATTCAGAGTTGGCAGAAGAGGACCCCAGGATGGGATGCCAAGGGAAGTAACAGCTCCTGCCTATGTCCCATACATCCCCCACTGATGTATCCCCAGAAGACCCTTAGTTGTGATGTCCCCATTCCCACAGGAGCTCCTGGTCTCCTGACCCTGGCTACAGAGCAGGCACCTTCTTTTCATGATACGGACGTGTGGGGCATCCTCCTCCTTCAGGCATGGCCGCCACCCACAGCCTGGGCCACCACCATCGCTGTCACCATCACTGGCAGAGAAGCTGGGAGTCCTCTCCTTCTTCAGGCCACGTGTCTGGGGTAGGGCAATTGTCCTCTTGTCTGCCAGCCGACCCCGGTTCTGGGCAGGTGGGAAGAAGATGAGGCTGGCCTACGCCACAGCCCCCTGGGCCCTTTGCTGTAGACCCAGCCAGAGTGTTGCTGGCCCACAGTGTGGCAGCCTCTCAGATAATCTGTCACTCTCAGGCTCCTCACCAGCTCCCTGACCTACTGGAGGCTATATGCAGCCTGGGGCAGGGCTCTCAGACTGGTGCTGGTGCATATGCAGTCAGCATGTTGTGACCCTGAGTGTGTCTGCCTGAATCCCATCATACCTTGTGTCAATCCCCAAGACTGGCTACTGCCAACATCCACAAGCAAAGTTCTGTTTTGTTTTGGCAGTGCTGGGGTCACCACATGGGTGCTACGTGGAGAGAAGGCAGCTATTGCTCTGCATCCTCTGGTTCTGCTTCTGAAACCCAGGCTACCTGAACCCCTACCCTTCTAGACAAGAGCTCTACCACACAGCTACAACCCAGTACCCCATTTCCATTTTGTGAGGGCCAGAAAAAGCCAATTCAGGGGTAGTTTTTTTTTAAATTTTTTTTTGTCTTTTTCCTTTTTATCGGTACCGAGGATCAAACTCACGACTGACTGCTTTCAAGGCAGGTGCTTATGCCGCTGAGCTAAACCCCTAGCCCCTAATTCAGGGGGTAGTTTGAAGCCTGAGGTGTGATAAAGAGCTTCCCTTAAAGCTAGTTTTTCTCCCTAGTATCCATGGTACAAGGGTGGAGCTGTTGCAATGATTCAAGTGAGAGGCTCCACACGCATGCAGTACAGACATGTGCCAGAGCATAAGTGTGTGTGCAGCCCCAGTCCAGCCTGGCTTTCTCAGATGCCCCTGAGTCTTTAGGTCTCCCTGGCCAAGGAGAAAGAAAAAAAGTCACTGATTATTTCCAGTGTGCAGAAGGTTTCTGCTTATTTGTAAACAGGTTTCTGGCTCAGACATGGTACAGGCCTTGAGAGCATAATTTCCTCTCCTCTGTGCAGTCTTGGGGGCCTCCTTGAAGCCCCTATTATCATAAGGAAAGGTCTCCACCTCACCCATGAACTTGGGAAGAAGGGGTCACAGAGCAGCCTGCTCACTTCCCATCTTCCAGGACCCAGAGCTGGTCTTCTGTGTCATGCTGCCCGCAGAAGAAAAAGTGCTTCTTTTCAGACATCCCAGAGGCACAGCCCCACCCAGCTCAGCTTGGGCAGGGCCCCTTCCCAGCTCTGGAAGTCACAATCTCCTCCACACTGGTCCCCATAAATCTGTTGTCCCTGTACCATTTTCTACTGCAGCACAGTTGGTGTGTACTGGAGCAAGGCAGGATGACAGGGTTCACTCTGGGGCCCCTTCTGAGACCTTCCAGACTGCAAAGCCTACATGAGGTTGTAAGGCAGGAGCTCCTGTCTATGCCCCAGGCCTCTGCCAGATCATTTTCTTTTTTTTTTTTTTTTTTTTTTTTTTTTTGTCTTTTTCCTTTTTATCGGTACTGGGGATTGAACTCACGACTGCCTGCTTGCAAGGCAGGCGCTTATGCCGCTGAGCTAAATCCCCAGCCCCAGCCAGATCATTTTCAACAGCTCCTTTCTATCCAGGGTGTGCTCTACCCTTTCCCAGCCTGCTGGAGCCCAAGTGTGAGGTTCTTGGGGGGCTCTGCAGTCCCCTAGTATCCTGCTTTTCTGCTTTAACTAAAATATTCTCTTCAGAAGAAAAAAATATATTTCCCTTTGCCCCTAATCTGTGTGACGGAGAGAAGGGTGGGTTGGGGGCTGAGGAGGAGGCCAGAAGCAGCTGGCTGGAAATAAGCCCAGGCTACAGCCAGTCTCAGTCCATGATGCACAGACCTAGGTATAGAGAACCTCCAGTCTCTGCCACAGCCTGAAGTAGGTCTGGGATAGCTCCTTAAGGAAGTCCTAGGGGAGGGAACTGAGGACTCAGATTGTTGCCCTGCCCCTGCCCAGACACAGGTAACAAGAAACTCTTCTCATTCACTAGAGATCTCAACTAGCTCCTTTTGCTCAATAGAGTTGTGAATTTGGCACCTAGCTAAGACTCTGCCCCTCCTCAACGAGAGTGGGAGTCCAGCACGTGTGGCTCCTCAGCCACATGTATATCCACATTCCATCCCTGGAGTATCTGTGAGCAGGCAGCGTGCACACACACATGGACCTGGCCAAGGGATTGGGGGAGCCAGCCTCACTCTGAGAAAGGTGGGGTGCAAAGAAGGGGGCCCATGGAGCTCCTTCCTAAGGGGTACTGAGCTCAGGAGAGTTAAGTCCAGGTCCAGGTCACTCCGCATCCCTCTGACTGTAGATTTGCTATTGAAGGTAAGGAGGGTTGCTCATGTGGTGCTCAAGTCCTCTGCTTTTTCCACTCTTGTGCAGGCTTTGGGGCTGCAGGCTGAGAGCAGTAGAAACCCTTTCTCCCTAAACAGAGAACAGAATTCTTGGGAGAAGAGACTGGAGGATGGGTACCCAGAGGACTCCTCTCCAGCACCAGCTGCTTGTAGAATACAGCAATGAAAAGAGAATGGCCTCTTGCCCTGGCAGGTATGGTGACGGCAGGCAGGAGGTGGCTGTTTGCACACACCTATGGAAAGCTCTTGGGTCAGTGCATACCTGTGAACTCATGTGGAAGCTGCTGATCTGTGTCAGACTGCATGGGGTGTGCATGTGTCTGAGGCTTCCCAGCCTGTTCATGCCATGCCCTTGGGAGTCCAAGAGGAACCCAGGCACCCCACCCCTAGTCCAAACGAAAAAGCTGAAGTGGCAATCTAGACCTCTCAGGACTCTTGGCTCTCTGCCTCTCCAGGGAGTGGACTGGAGCCTCCACCCCAGCACCATAGCCCTCTTCCCCAGGGGCTCTAACTTGGTCCCTCTTCTGAGCCTATTACCTTTTTAGGAAATTACATCTGGGCATACATGTATGCTTCTGTCCACCAGTCCCTCCTACTCTGAAAGCCAATGAAGACTTCAACAGATTGTCCGTCCTGGGTGGAGGGACAACCAAAAAGTTGTCAACTCTAGCTTTCTGATCATTCTTACTCCAAAGACCCTGCTCTGACTGGGTCTAGGACACTTGGGCAAAACAGACCCTTGCAGGGCAGGATCCAGCCCTCAGCACCCCAGATACAGCCAAGCACATCCAGACCAGCCAGCACTGTTTCCTCCCACCATGAGCCCAACCTCCAACCAGCTGGGGCACATGACTTGGAGACTATCAGAACAGGATCCAAAACCGGGGGAAGGTCTGGAACCCTGGGCGATCTGTTCACAGAACTTGAGGAGGAGCTCCAAGCCACAGAGGCCTGTGAGGGTGGAGAAGGGTGGGGTGGGGGTTGCTGCTGAACTGGTAAGACTCTTGATTAAGAAGGGCTTTTGCTTCTTTTCAAGTACAGGCTAGAGAGCAGAGCACTCCCCACCCCCACCCCCGCCTTCCCTGGGGAGGCTCCCTCTGGAACACGTAAGGTGAGGTTAAAACTTTCAGCCCTAGAAAACTCAGGCACCGGCGTGCCCTGCGGGGAAAGATCACAGTCCCCTGATTCCCAATCTCACCACTGGCGAGGATATTCGACAGCCCGGACAGTCGCAAATCGGAGGATGCACCTGCAGGATTCCCTTGGACATAAGCGTCTTCAGACTTTTTCCTGCCGGGAGAGCCAGGAGAATCTGTGAGAAGTGGCCAGGGCACAGGTGGAGCTGCCTGCGCGCGCGCACACACACACACGCACGCACACACACACACACACACACACACACACACACACACGCACGCACGCACGCACGCCTCGGGACGCAGCCCTGGCAGGACCAGGCCCCCTCCCGGCAGGTGCGCGGAACTGACACGGATTTCCCTCTGCCCTCGAGCTTCCGAACCTGCCGCCCACCCTGTCCCACAGACACCGACGCTGCAGTGATCTGCAGGGCCTGAAACTCGCCCGGGGAGAACGCCCTCCCCTTGACGAAGGACGGCCTCCTACGGCCCGGCCCCCGGCGCTCCTCCTCTCCGCTCCGCCCTTTCCGAGCCGGTCCCGCGGGAGCCCGCGGCGGGGTAGAGGAAAGCGAATCTGGGAGAGGTGAGCGGCTCGGCGGAGCCTGGGCCTGCGCTTGGCCCCGCAGCAGTAAGCGAGTGACGGGCGTGGAGTGCGAACCGAAGCTACCGCGCCCCCAACTTTTTAACTCCCCCACCACGGTTGGCGCTCGCCAGCCTGCTAGGTATCCGGCCTCAGGCAACCACATCGCACTTTTGGGGGCGCACTCCCAACGGGCTCCTTGAAGCCGGTCGCCTGCGCATGGACTCTGCGCGCCCCCACCCACCGCGCCTTGCCTTGGTCCGCGCGCGCTCGCAGAGCACCCTTCCCGCTGGAACCCGTGACTCCACGCCTGGCGGGGTCGGGAGAGTCCTCGAGTTCCCATAAACTTCCTCTGGCTCTTTAGACTCAGGGGCCTCGCGGCCCTACCGTGGGTAACGCGGAAGGCCGGGGCGCCTACCCCGGGCTGGGCCCTGCGCAGGGCGAGGACGACCCTGGCGACCTGGCACGCGGGGAACTGGGGGCGGTGTAGCTGCGGCTGTCCTGGAATTGCAGCGCCCCCTCTAGGCAGAGACCCGGCTCCCAGGTGGCCGAGCGAAGGGCCAGGAAGCCAGCCGGGGAGACGCACCGCAGCTCCCCCCTTGCCCTCGCGGCCGCACCTTTGTGGCGGATGCTGCGCTTCCAGTCCTTGGCCGTCTCGCGGCCGCTGACGAACTGGAACTCGTTGGGCGTGAGCCACTCGCCGCGGTGGCGGATGGAGGGGCCTTTGCTGCCCTGGCAGAGTTTGCGCACGTAGAGCAGCGCGCGGTTGGCGCCACACTCCACCTCGATGCAGGGCTCGCCGTTGTCCAGCAGCGGCTGGAAGTCTGGCGCCGCGGCCGCGGAGGCCGAGAAGCGCTCGAGGGCCAGCAGGTCTCGGGGAGGCGAGGGAAAGGCGCGCGGCTGCTGAAGCGGCTGGGCCAGCAGCGCCTCGTAGCCCGCGGCCGGGGCGGGCAGCGAGGCGGCTGGGGGCAGGGCGGCTGCGGCGGGCAGCGGCGCCAGGTAGCCGGGCAGCGGCGGCAGGGGCAGAGCGGCCAAGGCCGGGTGGAAGGCGGCCAGGGCGAGGGCCAGGTCCTCGCGACCCGTAAGCTCCTTCTTGACCGCCGGCATGGCCCGCCGGTGCCCAGCAGCCAGCTCTCCGCCGGCGGTGCAACTTACACCGGCCAGCCGGGAGTTGGATCTCGGGGCCAGGGGTGCGCCCTGCCACTACTGCGCCCCCGCGCCTGCCTCCGCCGCGCAGCCCGGCGGGCTGCCTCCCACAGTTGCCCGGCTGCCCGGCGGGGCCTCGGCGGCGGGAGACATGCTGTGCCGTCGCTGCCTCCGACCCCGCTCCTGGGGCTCTCAGGGCGCCGGAGTCACCTGTGCCCACGCACCGGGGCGGTCCCGCGGTGCGCTCGCCGCCCAGCGAGCCGGGCTAAGCCGGCGACGAGGAATCTCGGCGTTGCCAGCCCCGCTGCCAGCGCAGCCCAGGGGTCCCAAGCCCCTGCCCCGCCCCGCCCCACCCTGCCCCACCCTGCTGCCCGGCCGCGCTCTCGCGTCCACTGGCGCGCGCGCCTGCCCGGCGGGGACTTAGGAGACTCCTGCCGCCCGCCAACACCGCCGGCCGCCGCCACAACTTGGCCCATTTAAACGGCCCCGGCGCGGCGGGCGGCGCGGGCTCCAGCGGGGGGTGCATGACGGCCGACTGGGTTGGAGGTGGGACTGGGCGGCGCTCCCCCACCCCGCAAAGGAGAAAGAGAGCTGATGGAGGTGGTGGTGAGTGGGGGCTAGGCGTGGCATTAGTGGGTGTCACTGGACCGAAGCTTGAGGCCAGGACCCCACGTAGGGTGGGGCAGAGTCCAGCCTGATGGCCAGTAGGTTTTCCTTGGAGGGGGACACTGGGATATCCCCGTCCTTCCAGTGTGTGAGGCTGGCGCCCTGGGCAGGAGTGTTTGCAGGGTGTGGGGCTGTGGATTTGTGGATGGTTAATTTGTTTGCTTACTACCTGCTGCCTTAGTCAGTATTCTTGTTTACTGTGAGGTTTCTGATTCATTATCCCAATTTTACAGAGAAGTCTAGCAAGTTGTTGATGGTACAGAGAACTATTTTACTCTAGGATGTCTGCCTTCAGGATGGTGTCTGAGCCATAGTGTTGGGCAAGAAGAGACAGTTGCCCTCAGTCAGGGCCAGATTTCTGAGATGAGTTCAGCTGATGGGGTGAGTTTGTGCACTAGCATAGGTCAGCTAGTCTAGGGGAGAGGGATCTGCCCCATCCTCTGCCTTGTTGCTGTGGGAGCAGGTGGACTGGGCAGTTGGTCTACTGGTCCTCTCGTACCCCATGCCTCCCGACAGGACAGGACTGGTTCTGTATGGAACTGGAGCACCATAAGAAATAAGGAGAAACCCCTGGCTCTGGAACAACTGCTGAGAGAGACCTTTTTCTCTGGTGTGTTGTATTGGGTACACTAGAAAGTGGCCTGATGTTCTAGCCCAGCAGCTCTTGAAGTGTCTCTGATTTCCCTCTGGGTACACCCTTGACTTTCATGAGGTGGGGTGGGGGGGTGGGGTGGTGGTGGTGGGGTGGTGGTGGTTGAGTAGGGTCATGTGAAGCACCTTCTTTGAGAGGGTTTGAGAGGGAGGGGACAGCCCACCACTACCTCCCCAGACGCCAGCATAGAGCTGACTACTGAGGTCTGCTCTGCTTTCCCTCACCCACTCTTCAGCAGCCAGAGTACCACACTGACCTGGGAGTGAATCTGGCAGGATGTTTGGACTGTAGCTGGGAGCTGTCTGAACCCCCTACATCTTCAGTGGGCACAGTACATTGGCTGATGGGGGCCAAGGGGCCAAGCGGGAAAGTGGGTGACTCCCTCCTTCACCAATCCTGGTTCTACTACCTCTCCTGCATCCTGATACTAGCATGTCCCTGACCCATGTGTGACAACCAGCAATCCTCCCCCTACCACTGGGTCTTGCTTTAAGATGATCCATGGTTAAGGCATGCAAGATTTAGCCGGTGAGTCAGGGACTCAGAGAGGCCACTGTACTAATAGGTGGCTGTGGCACACATGTAAAGGGTATCTGAGCTGGGTGGAGGCCACATGCTGCCTCCTGTGCCACAGCCCTGACCAGCCTGCCAAAATAGTCCTCACCCAGGTTTCTTGTGTTTGCTAGCCCTATGCTCAGGCCTCCTAAGTGTTACTGTGTCGCTCTAGAAGAACAAGCTGTGATCTGACAACCCTTACTCCAATCTCCATGGGCCTTCTGTCCTACTCAGGCATGCTTGGGAAACAGGAAGCCATTTCTGGGTTTCTGTCTGATCTGGGGGTCCACCTAGTCCACCCTCTATGCCACAGTCTCCTCACCCTATCTGGAGAACCGTCCCTCTTAACTGCAGCCCTTTCCTCCCTCCTCTTGGGAGTAGATTCCTGCCTGGGACTGGGCTTTATAACCAGCAGATTATACTCCAAACACTTGCCTTGCCTGGCGTGTGGATGTCACCTTCCTCTGCACATTTCAGAGTAAAGCAGAAATGAGAGAGAGAGAGAGAGAGAGAGCGCACTATGGGGTAGAGTTGTCCCACCCTGGCATTTGTGCACAAGGAGCACAAGGCACAGGCCCACAGCACTTTCTGCAGACCCTTGTCTCAAAGGTGCCTTGCTGTCGCTGCTCTGGGTCCCCCTGCTCAGGGCCCTCTGCTGCTGGGCTGAGGCCAGAGCTGCTGCCACTGGGAGGGGAGGAGGGTCATAAATAACCTGAGGGCAGCAGTGGTTCAGACGGTGACCTGAGATTCCTGGGGGAGCTTGAGGGCAGCTGCAGGGGCCTTTGCCCCCAAAGTGACTGCTCTAGCCTTGACCCATCTTGGAGTGCCTGCCTCTTAGAGACCCCCTTACCCAGCCCTTCATCAATCAATCAACCATTTATTGAGCTCCAGATGTGGCATAAATCCAGAAGAGACAACCCTGAGGTGGGAAGACAGAGATGCGGAGGAAAGCGATGTCTATAGAGCACAGGTGTGGAGTCAGAGGAGGTGCCGGGGAGTAAAGTCCTGGCTTGCGCCTCACCTGTCTTCCTGAGCTCAATAGGTCTGATAATGAAAGGCTGCACATTTGGGGAACAGGCCCAAGATCCATTCAGACCAGGGACAGGCAATGCTTAGGGAAAGCATATGGGCCGCAGCTGTGGGTCCAGATGATCCTGAACCCTGAGGAAACACACTTGTGTACTCATGTGCCAGCTACTAGTAAATGCCTGCATATTCAACACATACAGACAGCAGTCACAGGCATGCACTCCTGTGTGCTAGCACAGTGGTTCCTGAATCTGCATATGCACGACAGGCGCTTGGTACCCTTGAATATCCACGTAGCTTGGGCTCCAACACAAACACAGAGTATGTGCTAACTTATACAAGCAGACAAACCCTGAGACCTGGACATGAAACACATAAAAGGCACCCACCAGATGGACCCAGGTCCAAAATATTCATCTGCCCAAATAAGATGTTGGATACAAGAGTCTAGTTGGAAGCACTGTTGGGTACTGAAGGGTTAACCTAAAAGGTCACAGGTTAGTGGTAAACCAGCTGGGACCCCCTCAGACATTCCTGCAGAGTGGCAAGAACCTCTAGAAATGTGCTCCTGACCCTGATCAGACACAGAGGAGCTGCCCTGCTGGGACATGCTGAGCCTGTGGCTAGCTGTGAGCTGGCTATAGGCCATGTAATGTCTCTCAGGAGACAGAAAGGTGTTTCTGAGGCCAAGCTGTCCATTGACCTTAACTTCTGCCACTTGAGGAAAAAAGGTAGGGCCTTCTCAACATTACCCTGCTCCTAGGTTTGTACTGTCTCCCAGATGTGTACATACAGACATTTTAGTAGACTGCCCCCAGGACTCTTGCTGCTGGGCCATTGCTAGCTATATAGTATCATTTTCAAGTGTGTCAATGCATATGGTGACCCCCAACACCAGGGCAGTGATGGACATGAGCTGTAAAAACCTACTAGCACCTTGGTGCAGCACAGGGACCTCTTCCAGATACAGAAGCTACTGACCTGACAGCATTAGCAGGAGCTACAGCCTTGGATCTGCAGGATTAGCCCCTTCCCTCAAGGAAGGGTACTGATGGGGGAAGGGGGCAGCCCCTGCCTTAGAGCAGCTTTTCATATGCTACAGTCCCACCTGGACCTGGGCTATGCTGGAGGCTGAATCAGGTGGTACAATGGTGGCTCCTGTAGTGACCTAAGCCTTGGCCCTTCCTGGTCACACTACATGAACCACCCTTTTCTGTTTTTCTTGGAGCTGTGTTTCCCATCTGGCAGAGTATGCTCAAAATCCATGGTTCCCCTTTGGCCTGGAGCAGAACAGACAGGGCAAAAGTGCCCAGAATATGCAGGCCAGGTGACTGCCAGGGCACAGCTCCTCCATAAGATGGACCTGGAGTACAGAAGTTGTAGAACCCCCCATTCCCTTCAGGCCAAGTGAGGAGAATGGGTGAGTTTTCCAGGGCCCCTGGGAGCCTGAATGTCTTCCCAGGAAGTAGACATGAAGGCTGGTTCTGTCTTTCTCCCTACGGACAGAAATGGCTGAAGCTTGAGTAGTAGAGGGACAGTCCATGGGAGAAGCTGCTGGGTTGATGTGGCCCAGTGCAGCCACCTCCCTTGGTTCAAGCTAGCACAGGTGGGAGCCCTTCTTCAGGTGGGAGGCCAGGGGGCCTGCTAGAACTGAGCAGCATGCAGGCCTTGGGCCTAGTCTCACCTGGTCCAGGAGTATGAAAGGGCTCAAAGAAGGCCAAGAGACACAGTGTGCTCACACCTATTGGTCCTGGGTGCAAGGGACACCTGCATGCTCATGTGTGTCTGTATTTCCTTCCTGCCATGCACTTCAGCTCATCCTGATCCCGTGGGCGTCCATGTTCCTCATTCTTTGGGTGTTGGTTGGTCACAGCTTACTCTATATGTTTACCTCCCTGGCCTGGGTAGACCTTGAGCACTTGGGCCGGATAAAGGAATCCCAGCCTTGTGCTGTCTTCAGAGCTTTAGGGCAGAGGTCATTCTCCAAAGAGAAGTAGGGGTGGGCATGGAGAAGTAGTGGTCTTTACCATTCTGCCAGGGCAAACCAAGAAGAGGGCATCATGCTAGGTGTGGTGTGCCACTCAGGAGCCTGAGCTAGGATCACAAGTGTGAGGCCAGTTGGGACCATTTAGTAAGGACTTGTTTCAAAATGAAATTTTAGGGGCTGCGGCTCAGTGGTATAAGCACCTGCCTTGCAAGTA